CAGGCGTGAGCCACCGCGCCCGGCCCCTTAAATGCTTCTTTTAACATTTCTTGTAGAGCAGATAGGCTGGTGATGAATTCCCTCAGTAGCTGTCTGTGAAAATATTTATCCTTCACTCCTTTTCTTTCTCTATTTTTTTTTTTTTTTTAAGCAGAGTCTCGCTCTGACACCCAGGCTGGGGTGCAGCAGTGCAGTGGCACGATCTTGGCTCACTGCAACCTCCACCTCCTGGGTTCAAGTGATTCCCCTGCCTCAGCATCCTAAGTAGCTGGGATTACAGGCGTGTAACACCACACCCAGCTAATTTTTGTATTTTTGGTAGAGATGGGGTTTCGGCATGTTGGCCAGGATGGTCTCAGACCCCTGACCTCAGGTGATCATCCTGCCTCAGCCTCCCAAAGTGCTAGGATTACAGGCTTGAGCCACCGTGCCCAGCTGAGCCTTCACTGTTGAAGGATAATGTCACCGGGTATATAATTCTAGGTTGGTGGGTTTTTTTCTTTCAACGTTTTAAATATTTCACTTCACTTTCTTTTTCTTTTTTTTTTTTGAGATGGAGTCTTGCTCTGTTGCCCAGGCTGGAGTGCAGTGGTACGGTCTTGGTTCACTGCAAGCTCCACCTCCCGGGTTCACGCCATTCTCCTGCCTCAGCCTCCCCAGTAGCTGGGACTACAGGCGCCCACCACCACGCCCGGCTAATATTTTGTATTTTTAATAGAGACGGAGTTTCACCATGTTAGTCAGGATGGTCTCGATCTCCTGACCTCATGATCCACCCACCTCGGCCTCCCAAAGTGCTGGGCTTACAGGCGTGAGTCACCGTGCCCGGCCTCACTTCACTTTCTACTTGCTTGCATAGTTTCTGACCAGAAGTCTGCTGTGGTTTTTATTCTTGTTCTCTATTGGTAAAGTGGTAAAGTGTTCCCTCCGGCTCTTTCAAGACTTCAATTTTTTTTTTTTTCAGTTTAATTATGTTATGCCTAGGTAGAGTTTCTTGGTATTTATCTTTCTTGGTTTTCTCTGAACTTCACAGATACGTGTTTGGTATCTATTAATTTTGGAAAATTCTCAAGCATATTACTTCAAATATTTATTTGGCTCTGTTCTCTCTTCTGCTTCTGGCATTCTAATGACGTGTACATTATACCTTTTGAAATTGGCCTCCAGTTCTTGGGTGTTCTGTTCTGGGTTTTTTCATCCTTTGTCTTTTGCATTTCAATATGAGAAGTGTTTTCCCCCCTTCAGTTTCACTGATGCTTTCCTTGGCTGTCTCTGGTTTACCAATAATGAGCCCATCAACGGCATTCTTTGTTTCTGTCACAGTGTTTCTGATTCATAACACTTTCCTTTAATTCTTTCTTAGAGTTTCCATCTTTCTGCTGCTTACATTACCCGTCTGTCTTTTCCCTTAGAACACTTAACACATTAATCATTGTTATTTTATTTTTATTTATTTTACTTTTTTCCTAGAGACAGGGTCTCACCATGTTGCCCAGACTGGACTCAAACTCCTGGGCTCAAGCAATCTTCCTGCCTCAGCCTCCCAAGTAGCTGGGATGAACCACCACACTCAGCTCTAATCATTGTTATTTTTAATTCCCTGTGTGATAATTCCAGAATCTGTATCATGTTTGAGTTTGGTTTCTTTTTCTCTTCCGATAGCTTTTGCTTTGTTTTGTTTTGTTTCTCCAGAGACAAAGTCCTGTTCTGTTGCCCAGGCTGGAGCGCAATGGTACTATCATAGCTCACTGCAGCCTCGAACTCTTGGGCTCAAGTGATCCTCCCCGGTAGCCTGCTGAGTAGCTGGGACTACAGGCATGTGCCACCACACCCAGCTACCGACAATGTTTTTGATTTTAGTTTTGGGTTTTGTTTTGCCTTTTAATATGCCTTGTAAATTCTTTTTGAAAGCTGGACATGATATATTGACTAATAGAAACTGAGGTAAATAGGCTTTCAGTGTGAGACTTGTATTAGTCTGGCTAGGAGTTGGGCTGTGCTTAATGTTTTCTGTAGTTATTGGTGCCAGAGGCTTCCAATTCCTCAGGGATCTTTGGTTTTGTCTCCCCAGCTGTCTTTTGGTTTCCCTAAGTACTCCTCCTCTGAGAAAGTCAGCATCTTCCAGTTCTTTCAGCTTTAACCCAGTTTCATTATACCTCTTGGTGTGGTGGTAGGATGTAGGAGGAGAAAAATGTTCTATCATCTTATGATTATGAGATGAGCAGGTCTCTGGGCTGTGACTTTCACAAGTGTTTCTTAGTTTTTTTCCCCCTCTCTTGTGTGAGATAGGAATATCACAGGGGACTGGATTTGGATAGTTTCCCTTCCCCCAAGTAGATAAGGCTCTGGTAAAGTCTTCTCCTAGCAACATAGGCCTTTGTTAGGAAGAACACTCTGGGCATTTCAAAATGGTTACCTTTCCTCCACCCTGCCAGAACCACCAGAGATTTTTTCTTGGTTCTTCATTATGAGAACCTGGTGGAGTTCCTAGAGGTAAGATCCACAAACATATTGGGGGAGCCCCTAAGGCTACAGGCCCCAGGGAGTTTCTCAATCTCAAGCACGTTCACACTCAGCCTCCAATTGCATCAAAATTACCATGTAAGTGTTTTTACCAGCTTATGGCTTTAACAGTCTCTGCTCCAGGTACACAGATCACAGCTGTGTACCTGGAGCAGAAGGTTGGCCTCTCTCCAGATTTGGGGGTGGCAGGTGCCTTGGGAGTTCAGTTCTCTGATAGGTCAGAGAAAAGTCATTAGCTTTCAGCATATTCAGCTTATTTCTTGTTGAAAGAGTTTCCAAGTTCTTTACATGTCAGCACTAAAGCCTTAAGTCCCCAAATCTTTTATAATAGGCAGTGAGCCTAACTGCCTTTTGCTCTAGAAGGAACATTACTTTTATTATAATGGACAGTAAAGAAATCTGTCCTTCACTCCAAAGGGAGATATTGTCTATCTTTCAAGGTTGTTTGTTCTTCTAACATTCTTGAAAAGATCATCTGGAATTATCTAGATATGCAGAAATATAAAAGGCCCAAGGAGAACTGTCTCTCAACAGATGTAAAAAACACTGGGAAAATGGTGCCGGAAATAGAGTTTAAAACGGTTGTCCTCAACCTTGGCAGTCCATTAGCACCACCTGGATGGATTTTTATAAAACCAATGCCCAGAGATTCTGTTTCCATCGGTCTGGGGTAAAGCTCCAAGCGTCAGTAGTTTTTAAAAGCCCCCGTGTGATTTTAATGTATAGCCAAGGTGGAGACCACCTGTCTAAAAGTTGATGAGGTGAGATATAATTAATAATATATTTTTTACCTCAGTGCTTCCCAAGCTTTGCTGTGCATGTGAATTACCTGGAATTATATTCAATGCAGACTCTGATGCAATAAGGTCTAGAGGAGGGCCAGAGATTCCGTTTCTGACAAGCTCCCTGGTTTTGCCTGATATTGTCATTCTATTTGAGCAGCAGGATTTTGGCTCACTGGAAACAGACTTCTCATTATAATCCGTATCTACTGCTAGACTTGCATCCTTAAGGCTTTATATAGATATACATACATATAGATAGATAGATAGATAGATAGATAGATAGATAGAGGTGTGGATATGTTCAGGAATGTATCATGTAGGGAAGGAGAAGGTAGCCTGACTCTGGAAGATGATTCTTGCAGTAACAGTAAGGCCCACATGTATACATGTGTAACAAATCTACACATTGTGCACATGTACCCTAGAACTTAAAGTATAATAATAATAAATTTAAAAACAAAAAACAAGGAAGGCCTATCCTTTCCCAGGACCACAGAAATACCCTAAGCATTGAGACCATGAGAAATTTGAGAGATGCTTCAGGATGTTGAAAACAAAGATTTAGAACACAGGGCCGTCAAGTCCTAAGTAACAACTTCCCTCTGAGCCTTACATTGCTCAAGTATCAACGGTAGCTGTTGGTGAAGAGTATTTGGATCCAAGTATCAGAGAAATAAAAAGTAAAATCTTAGTATTGCTGGAGTAAAAGCCCTTTCCAGTATGAGTGACCCAGAAGAACACTGATCAATGTTGTTTCTATTTCTTCTATTGGGAGTAAGGGAAACAGCTCTGGCCATCCTCCTCCCAATCTCCTGATTTAATTTCCAAAGGTTATGATGCGGTTGGCCTCCACGACGGCAGAGCTGGCGTCTGGGCCTTCCCATCTCTCTGCAGTGCTGGCAGCAAGAGGGAAGGAAATACCCTCTTCCAGGGCCGGCACTGCTCATGCACAGGCCTTCCCCGGCCCAGCAACATGTCCACTTTCCAGCTTGAATGAGTCTCTTTCTGGCTACACGTATCTTTCATCTGTTTTCTAGAGTAAACAGAAGACTCCTAGATAGGAGTCAGGTTCCAGAGAGCCCATAAGGACCTACAGAGACATGTCTGCTAAATATTGATTATATTGGTGGTCCTGGGGCAGGAGGGAGGGAGGAAGATCTAGTGCCTTCTTCTTTAATGTCTCTTAATCAAGTTAATACCTGTCCACCCGCCAGCTGCCTCTGGAAGCATTTTAGAAATACCACTTCACGGCCGGGCGCGGTGGCTCACGCCTATAATCCCAGCACTTTGGGAGGCCGAGGTGGACGGATCACGAGGTCAGGAGATCAAGAGCATCCTGGCTAACACAGAGAAACCCCATCTCTACTAAAAATACAAAAACAAAATTAGTCGGGCGAGGTGGCGGGCGCCTGTGGTCCCAGCTACTCGGGAGGCTGAGGCAGGAGAATGGCATGAACCTGGGAGGCAGAGCTTGCAGTGAGCCCAGATCACGCCCCTGCACTCCAGCCTGGGCGACCGAGAGAGACTCCGTCTCAAAAAAAAAAAGAAAAAAGAAATACAACTTCATAGTGAGGAGACACGTTATCCTTTCCCACCGAGCCTGGTGTCTCTGAGTTTTCTAATACAGATTTGCTGAAATGGGAACAGGAGGTCTTTGCTTTTCCTGACCTCTGTGCATCTCACATCCATCAGAAAGAACAATGCCATGGCGAGGTACTCAGAGCTGAGGGAGGAAGATTGCTGCAGCCTGTGAGCTAAGCCGAAAGAATATGCCGGGCTTCTTTGGGATCCGATGTGGACTTGGTCCCGCTGCAGGTACTCATTCAATACCTCTTTATGATGCGCCATTGTGTGCTTAAGTGCTGAGGATTCTCAATGACTAAGACCTTGGCTCTGCGCGTGAAGGGCTTAGAAGCCCAAAGCCGAGGTTAATGGTAAAGCTAGGCCGAATTGCTTAAATACTCAAACAGAATACATCTATTTGCTTGTTGAGAGAAGTGAACATATTGTCATCCAAGGATGTGAGAGGCTAATAAAGATGGGGATAGGTGGTTCCACAGGCCGTGAACCCCTATGAAAAGACACAAAGTCCCTTGGCTGAATGCGGTGGCTCACATCTGTAATCCCAACACTTTGGGAGGCCGAGGCGGGCAGATCACGAGGTCAACAGATCAAGAGCATCCTGGATAACACGGTGAAACCCCGTCTCCACTAAAAATACAGAAATTAGCCGGGCATGGTGATGGGCACCTGTAGTCCCAGCTACACGGTAGGCTGAGGCAGGAGAATCGCTTGAACCCGGGAGGCAGAGGTTGCAGTGAGCCAAGATCACGCCATTGCACTCCACCCTGGTGACAGAGAGAGATGCTGTCTCAAAAAAAAAAAAAAAAAAAAAAGACATAAAGTCCCTGAAGGTTGGAAATAGTCTTCAGCCCATTCCAGATGTTTTGCATTAAAATATTAGCCATAACTCTCCTGATGGCAATCCTGAGCCCAGACCCATAGTGGGAGAGCCTATAGGAACAGCAGGATGCCCCTCAGCCGGCGAGGGAGACCTGGCTTTTGCTCTCTAAATTCCCTCTCATCAGTGCACAGTTGAAAACTAAGGAGCCAGGCACAAAATACAAAAGTGTGAGACCAGAGGGACTGCAGGAGCTATGTGTATTTTAAAGGCATTCAAATTCAAAACCAAAGTCAGCAAAGCATCTCCTGCCCTTTTGCTACCTTGGCAATAATCTGTAGAGCCGCTCTTGACAATCGGCCTCGCCATTTCCATCGCCTTAAGTCTGGGCATGTCCCTTTGCCTCTTCAACACTACAACTGCCTCAACAGTTAAATAAGGATGATAATACCCAGCCTGCATCTATCACCGGGTAATTGTGATAATTTAATTATCCAATAGCTATAAAGCACTTTAAAACTATAAATCACTATAAAGCTGCAAGCAATTTAACCAATACCAAGCCTTCCTTATCTCTGAATATTTAATTTATGCTCTGTCTCTCTTAGAACGTAGGGACATACATTCCAATATATTTTCCAGACTTCCACTGATAATATTGGTTGGAAAAAGTACCTTTTTCCTGTTGCCCTGGCTTGTTGAGAGCGTGGCTTCTGCAACTGTTACCCGGCTGTCCTGCAGCAAATCATATCAACAAATATTTACTAGCTGCTGAGCTAAGCCTTGTAGGAGATACAAAAAAGCGTGAGATTCACTTTCTGCACTAAAGGAGCAAACTGCCCAGCTGAACCACAGAACCTGTGTATTCTAGAGACGAAAAAAATGCCTGTGCTCCCTGGATGCTCCCAATATACCTGAAGCTTTACTTCAAATACAAGAAACAGCTGGTGTTCGTGATTTAAGGCTCAGTACAAATAGCAGAGAGAATTTATTTTACAAGCTGCCTGGGTTGGCAAAATTCCAGAATTCATCAAACAGAAAGATAAGGATGATGATGATAATGATAAAAATGATTCTGCATAATTAGTCTTCCTATAGTAACATAAGAGAAGCGCAGTCTACATAGGACATTCCAGAGTTGGAACATGCCCTCAACATCACCCAAAACCGATTTACAACAGGGCCTTTCCAAGACCTGTAAAACCCAGTGAGCCCCTATGTTTGACATGGTTGTGTTTGGAAGCTGGACCTGCGAAGGTTTCAGGCAGTGATCCTTTGTCTTAATCTCATAAAGGAAACTCGATATCTATAGAACCTGGGAAAAATCCCAGAGAAAGAACCCCAATATTTCCAAACCCAAATAATAATAAAAATTACTTAACATCCAGCTAGTGTTTTTCCGTGATCTGTTGAGATCTTTGTTGTTACATTTCATGAACAATCTGAAGCAAATAAGTCTCTCACTTTAGGGAGAATGCTGAAGACCTAATTTATAAATGAATTTCCACCACTCAGTGAGAATAACTCTTTTTTGTTTGTTTGCTTGTTTGTTTTTGAGACAGGGTCTCACTCTGTCACCCAGGCTGGAGTGCAGTGGTTTGATCATGGCTCACTGCAGCCTCAACCTCCTGAGCTCAAGCCGTCTTCCCATCTCAGCCTCTCAAGTAGCTGGGACTATAGCCACCACACCTGGCTAATGTTTGTATTTTTTTGTAGAAACAGGGTCTTGCCCTTTTGCTCAGGCTGGTCTCAAACTCCTGGGTTCAAGCAGACTGCCCACCTTGGCCTCCCCAAATGCTGGGCTTACAGGTGTGAACCGCCAGGCCCAGCTGAGAATAATTCTTTTACTTTTTATCTTTTTTTTTTTAAATTTCACTTTAAGTTCCAGGATGCAGAACGTGCAGGTTTGTTGCATAGGTAAACGTGTGCCAGCTGAGAATAATTCTAACACATACCAAGAGCTTCTACTGCCAGGTAAATATCTGAATGCTTTAATATTCGCTTAGTTAATTCTCCTGATAAGTCATTACAGATACTGTCGTTATTCTTCTAAAGATGAGAAACTGAGGAGCCCAGAGGTTATCTCATGGGCCAAAGTCATATGGGTTGGTGAAAAAGTTGGTCCATTCCACGGCTTTCCACCACCTGTGACCCAGAATACAGAAGTGGCTATGGTCTGCTCCCTGCCTCCCGGGGGCTGCAGTCCAATGAAGGGTTCTGGTGTCAACTGGACAACAGCTAATCCCAAAGATATCCCTCATTCTGTCAGCTACTTCACAAAGATCTTCTTTTGGTCCCCAAGAGAATTGGGTGCAAGACCTGGAGGTGGCTAGGAGAAACCCCTCCTCCCCAGTACTGCAAAAAAGAGAACTCAAGACATTTTTCCCCATTATTGATAGATTATACTTTTTCCATCCTCATTGATGTCTTACTGGTGGAAAATTCCCTACAGACTGATTTGATGAGGTATGAAAGCCTTTCAGACTTAAATGTGCTTCAGAAATGTAAGTCGCTACCAGGCATGGTGGCTCATGCCTATAATCCCAGCACTTCGGGAGGCCAAGGCAGGAGGATCACTTGAGCCCAGGAGTTTCAGACCAGTCTGGGCAACATGGAAAGACCCCATCTCTACAAACGATTTTTTTTTTTTTAATTAGCCTAGCTACTCCAGAGGCTGAGGTAGGAGAATTCTCGAGCCTAGGAAGTCAAGGCTGCAGTGAGCTGTGGTTGTGCCACCGCATTCCAGTCTAAGTGACAGAGGGGAGATCCTGTCTCAAAATAAAAAATCTAGCCCACTTTTTTCACATGTTTTGGGGAAGTAAACAAAGAATACAAAGAATAAAGTTAAGAATAGTTTATATTACTATCTTCCCTAGCTTTCCAAATCTAGACAGGCTCCGCTACCACCCATCACTCTCCTGACAGCAGTCTGTTTTCTTTTATTTATAGCAGCTCTCCTCACCCAAATTAGCTTCTTAATTTAGTTACTTGAATACTTTACTTGAGTACTTCCAACTACAGTGAAATTTCATGCAATAACAGATTTTGTCTTCTTGTTTGCAATAATAAAATAATAACACTGTCTCAAGAGCCAGGTGTCGTGGCTCGTGCCTGTAATCCCAGCATTTTGGGAGGCTGAGGTGGGAGGATGACTGGAGCCCAGGAGTTTGAGGCTACAATGAGCTATGATTGCCCCACTGGACTCCAGCCTTGGTGACAGAGCCAGACCCTGCCTCTAAAAAAAGGAAAAAAACTGTCTCTGGCACGTAGTAGGTACTCAATAAATCCATGTTGAATAGTACAATTTTTGTTTAAAATTAGTATCTTTATAAACATTTTTAAAATTGTTTTTCAAGTCCAGAGAAATAGATTAATTACAACCCATGGTTAGTGGCACACCCTTCATTGATCTATGCATGCTCCTCCTTTTTTTTTTTTTTTTTTTTTGAGACGGAGTCTCGCTCTGTCACCCAGGCTGGCGTGCAGTGGCGCGATGTCCGCTCACTGCAAGCTCTGCCTCCTGGGTTCACGCCATTCTCCTGCTTCAATCTCCCGAGTAGCTGGGACTACAGGCGCCTGCCACCACGCCTGGCTAATATTTTTTTTGTAATTTTTTAGTAGGGACGAGGTTTAACTGTGTTAGCAAAGATGGTCTCGATCTCCTGACCTTGTGATCTGCCCACCTCGGCTTCTCAAAGTGCTGGGATTACAGGCGTGAGCCACCACACCCAGCCACATGGTCCTCTTTTAATTATTTATTTAGCTACTTAATTAGGTTTTTAAAAAAATCATATAATAGGCTGAGTGCAGTGGCTCACACCTGTAATACCAGCACTTTGGGAGGCCAAGGCAGGAGAATTACTTGAGGCCAAGAGTTCAAGACCAACCTAAGCTGCATAGGGAGACCCTTATCTCTACTTCAAAAAAAAAAAAAAAAAAAAAAAACGTAATAAACACCTGAAAAAAACCAGAATCTAAAACAAAAGCTAAGGTTCATCCTCTAACCACAGGGCCCTGTCTCTCTCTCATCCTTTACCTCTCTCCATTTGAAGGAATCATCATTCAGGAATCCCAGGTTCTTCATTTCCTGTGGTCTTAGTCTCCCTAGAAGCAGAACCCGAGATGGAGATTCTTATGCAAGTGATATGGAGGGGAGTGGTCTCAGGAGGCGAGTGAAGGAAACAGGCGGGGCAGGAGAAAAGGCTAAGCAAGGATGACTTGCCTGAAATCGTCTGGAGCTCTAGCCCAACCCCATGGGAGCTCGGGAACATTTGTTGTGCCAAAGTGTTGATCTCACCTGGAAGCAAAGAGCTAGCCATGTGTACTCCTGAGCCAGTCTGTCATGGGTAGACATTTGGGAGGATGGTAAAAGAAAAGACAGGTGCGCAGCCTCCTGCGTGAGGCAACCCCCATTTGGCCAAGAGCAATTCTCTAGAGAGGGACGTAGCCCTGAACATTGGCAGGCAATACTTAGCTGCTGGGATCTGTGCACTCAGCCAAGAAGTGGGGTCTGGACATGTCCACTATGGCTTGCTTCTCTTTTTATATAGTTTCATCAAAATTTGTATATCTTCTTTAAAAGTATGCATGTATTTTTTGTCAGGTGTTTGGATCTTTCTATAAAGGAAATCATACTAAATTTTGTTTTGACTACTGTATAATAATCTCTCAGTATGTGAATGTACCACACCTTTTCACCCATTCTCCCACTGATGGTCTTCTGAGTTATTTTTAGGTTTTTATGATTGTGAACAATGTTGCTATGAACATTCTCATATGTCTCCTCTTGTACAATTGCAAGAATTTCTTGAGGTCATGCCTAGGGTGGAATAGCTGGATCATAAGGTGTAAACTTGAGAAGATAATGTCAAACTGTTTTGTAAAGTAGTTTTACTAATTCAGCTGCCCACCAATAAGGTATGAGACCCTGCCACTCACATCCTCTCCAACTTTTTGATTTTTGTAAATTGAATGAGTATAAAACGGCATCCCATTGCAGTCTTGATTTGCGTGTCCTCAATCACTAATCATCCTTTTATATGTTGATCAGATATATCTGCTTCTTATTCTCTTTTTTTTTTTTTTGGAGACAGGGTCTTGCTCTGTCACCAAGGCTGAAGTGCAGTGGTGGATCATAACTCGCTGCAGCCTCGAACTCCTGGGCTCAAGCAATCCTCCCACCTCAGCCTCCCAATTAGCTGGGAGTACAGGTGCATGCCGCCACAGCCAGATAATCTTTTTCCTTTTCTTATAGAGACATTGGAGGCGGGTTCTTACTATGTTGCTGAAGCTGGTCTCAAACTCCTGGGCTCAAATGATCCTTCCACCTCAGCTTCCTGAGTAGCTGAGATTATAGGTGCTTTCACCACACCCAACTAATTTTTTGTTTTTATTTTGTTTTTATTTTTGTTGAAACAAGGGTCTCACTTTGTTGCCCAGGTTGGTCTCTAACTCCTGGGCTTAGGCAATCTTCCCACCTCGGCCTCCCAGAGTGTTGAGATTACAGGCATGCACCACCGTGCATGAACTGTGCTTCCTCTTTTGCGAAATGCTTGGTCAATTTGGCGCTTTTTTCTATTGGCTTATCTGTGCTTTCTTTAGTGATTTGTTGAAGTTCTTCATGCGTTCTTTGTCTGTTGTGTGTATTAGGAATATGGTGAACATCCTCTCTTGGCCTTTAACTTGTTTTCTCCCTTTCTATAGTATCTTTTAATGAACAAAAGCTCTTAATTTCATTATGGTATCTGGCATTTATGTCTTGTTTAAGCAATCTTTCCCTTGGCTGGGTGTGCTGGCTTACACCTGTAATCCCAGCACTTTGGGAGGCCAAGGTAGGAGGATTGCTTGAGACCTGGAGTTCAAGACCAGCCTGGGCAACATATCAAGGCCCCATCTCTCTATAGAAAGAAATAATAATAAAATTTTAAAATTAATCTTTCCCTTAAGGAATCTGAAGACTAATCTCAATCCGAGGGGAGTGACCACAATTAGGCCCAGGTTACAGGCCAGCCACAGAGGCAAGCTTGGTTATGCTCACCAAGGCACGGCCCTGTCTGAGGCAGCCCTAACCAGCCAGCACAAGTGACCAGCTGGCTGACTGGCAGGTGTGCTCTGGCTACAGAGCTGGATATATTATGCTATTAGAGCTGGGTGCTGTTAAAAATTCTAATCATAGACTTTAATTAACTTTCCTTGCTCTGACGCCCGCTCACTAAGCAACCTTCTGATTATAATTTGGCTTCCCATGTATCTTGCCTACAGGGAGAGAATGTACTGCTCAGGCCGACGTGAGGATCCAATCCACTCAACAGTTACATGCCACGATGTAAATTAATAAATTCGCATTCTGATTTTATCATCTGCCTCATCTGAGGTCTATAGGCGTGAGTCAGCATCCCCTAGTTTAATCAACATGGACACTGAGACTATCAAGCTTTTGAGCTGAAAAGCTAAGAACTAGACCCAGGATCACAGTGAAATCACCAAGGTAACATTGCCCTGGAGGCCCCTTGGCCTCATGAAGGAGGACTTCTTACGTGTCATGCAATACAGACAGGGATTAAAGTCGACTTCTGACATTATAAAGAGTTGCATATTCAAAACCATGGCTTGGTTCTATTCAGGTGAAGGCAAAGAATAGAAGATGATCATGAAACTCACATTGAATATTTATTGGCTTATAAGCACACACCAGATGCTGTACAAATCCTAGGGAGGAGATTAAGATTTACAGAAATGTTTGGAAAAAGCGAAAAAACAAAAACAAAACAACAACAACAAAAGGACAGATGGTACGTGCTGAGGTGAAATGAAACAAGAGGCAGCTGGTTGATGAATTCTTGCTCTACTTAGGGACTCGCGGTCCAGGATACAAAATAGACAGACAAACACACACACAAACCAGGACGAGGAAACACAGGATACACCACAGCACAAACGGAAATGTGCCAGGGTGGTGAGATTATCCAGGCCAGAGGAGTGATTTAGGACCTGTAAGATGAGGCCTAGATCTTTGAAGTGAGTTCAAAAGGCAAAGAGGAGGTGAGCCCATTAGGACAGATGGGGATAATCTCACCACCCTGCAATTTAGATGGTCACTTCACCCAGCCTTCCTGGGTGAGCAGTACCTACAGTGACACAGATCCCCTCCCGCCATCCTGGTCACACTGAATAATAAAGGGAGGAGAGGGGTAAGAACTGTAGTATGTAGAAATTCTCAGCGCAGGGAAGGGAAGTGAACTTCCACTTTGTATTCAGGCCTAAAAAAGGAGGGGAGGGGCCCAGCACGGCGGCTCATGCCTGTAATCCCAGCACTTTGGGAGGCTGAGGTAGGCAGATCACCTGAGGTCAGGAGTTTGAGACCAGCCTGACCAACATGGAGAAATCCTGTCTCTACTAAAAATACAAAATTAACCGGGCATGGTAGCATGCGCCTGTAATCCCAGCTACTCGGGAGGCTGAGGTAGGAGAACTGCTTGATCCCAGGAGGCAGAGGTTGCGGTGAGCCAAGATCGAGCCATTGCACTCCAGCCTGGGCAACAAGAGCAAAACTGTCTCAAAAAAAAAAAAAAAAAAAGGACAGGAGGGAGGGAAGAGACCTTCACTGATACCCCTGTGAGATTTGCTGCTCAAAGGAAAATATTTTCCAGGAAGACTGAGAGAAATTAAAGGAAATTCTATGTCATCTTTGAGACCCACCTGAAGACAAGCAGTGCCTCCCACAGTGCCACCAGAGCAAGGTCATTGGCTTGGCTAGATGTGGATGAGGCTAGAGAATCATCTCAGATTTTCTTTGGTTCTAAAAATGAGGTAGAGAGAGACATGCCGCCCAGGAAGGGGTGATGCTAAGTGCAGCTGCCCAGCCAGCAGGGTGGAAGGAGAGACAGACAAAAGGCTCATCAAAAACAGCGGGACCAAAATTGAGCAGGCTGGCAGAACCACTCCTTGCAGGGACACCGCCAGCACACAGGACTCCAGGGAGCTGGCTGGAAAGGGGCAGGCCTGTGTGCTGTACAAACCCAGAGGGCTCTGACTCACACGGGAAGGAATGGCCTCCTTTAACGGTGGCCTCAGTGGGTGCACATGTGGGTACAAATAAATGTAGACAGAGCGGGGCCGTCGCCTAGTAAAGGTTGTCCCGCACGTGCTCCATGATGGTCTTCAGCCCCAGCCAGGTCTCCTCCGCAGTGGGGATGATCTGGTTAGCTGGCAGGAGGAAGCCATAGGTCCCGGTATCTCTCAACTCAAATGTGAATGCAAATTTGATGCCATTATCATACGCCCAGTCGATGCTGCTCCCACTAGCTGGATCTGTAAGTCGGAGGACAAAACACTCTTGAAGCCCAGTTCCCTCCTGGGTTAGACGGGAAGGGGCCAAGAACTCTGCCTGCCTGGGGTTCCTTCAGGAATCCAGAGTTTGATCCTCAAGTCGTCAGTCCAAATCATCAGCCTGATCCCTATGTCTCAGACCATCCTGCATTGGCCTGAGGTGCATGCTGGTCTCAAACCAAGAGATCTGAAACCCTTACTCCCGCCTTATTACTAACTTACTGTGTCCGTCCTGTTGGTCCCTCAAAACCAATCTCTATACAGAGAGAGTATAGCAGGCAGCCTCCAAGGTAGCTCTAATGATACTTGGATCCTAGAAGTCAAGTCTTTGTGCAGCTCCCTCCTACATTAAATAGGGCTGACCTCACCAGTGTAACTGACAGGATGCTGCAGAAATGAAGCCGTGTGACTTTCAAGGCCAGGTCATAAAAGACACTGTGGCTTCTGCCTTGCTGTCTCTTGGATTACTCACTCTGGATAAGCCAGTTGTCATTTGGTTTTGTAAGGACATTCAAGTAGGCCTCTACAGAGGTTCATGGTAGTGAGGAACTGAAGTAGTGAATGAAAAATGCAAGCTGATATGGTTTGGCTGTGTCCCCACCCAAATCTCATCTTGAATTGTAGCTCCCATAATTCTCATGCATTGTGGGAGGGACCCAGTGGGAGATAACTGAATCATGGGGGTGGTTCCCCCATACTGTTCTTGTGGTAGTGAGTAAGTCTCATGAGATCTGATGGTTTTATAAGGGGAAACCCCTTTTGCTTGGTTCTCATTTGCTGTTTGCCTGCTGCCACGCAAGACATGTCTTTTGCCTTCTGCCATGATTGTGAAGCCTCACCAGCCACGTGGAACTGCAAGTTCATTAAACCTCTTTTCCTTTATAAATTACCCAGTCCCAGGTATGTCTTTATCAGCAGTGTGAAAACGGACTAATACACAAGTCTTAGGTTGACTGTGACCCTCCTGGAAGGCATCTTGACTGCAGCCTCATGAAGGATCCTGAGCCAGAGCCATCTAGCCAAACCACTGAATTCCTGCCCTACAGAAACTGTAAGAAAAAGTATGTTGATTGTTTTAAGCTGCTAAGTTTTAGGATTTTTTTTTTTAACATTACAAAAGATAATGGATACAGAGAAGGCAGCACAGACCTTGGGACTTCCCTTCACCAAAAGGCTTATGAAAGGCAAGAGGCCCATTTTTCTGCTTCTTCTCAAACTCTACTAGCTCAGAAATTGCCTAACAGTGCAAAATATAGATAATTCTTTTCTTGTTTCTTTTTGAGACAAGGTCTCACTCTGTCACCCAGGCTGGAGTGCAGTGGCATAATCACAGCTTATTGCAGCCTTGACCTCCTAGGCTCAAGTGATCCTCCCACCTCAGTGTCCCCAGTAGCTGGGACTGCAGGCACATACCACTATGCCTGCATAGTGTATGTAAATAGATACAAATTTATCTATTTGTAGAGATGGGGTCTTACTATGTTGCCCAGGCTGGTCTCAAACTCCTGGACTCAAGTGATCATCCCACCTCAGCCTCCCAAGGTGCTGGGATTAAAGGTGTGAATCCCACGCCTGGCCTGGATGACATTAAATAATAAATCAATGTCAATAGCAGCTACCATTTGTTAAGCATCTATCATGAGCCAGGCATTATATCAGACACTGCACACTTATGATCTCCTAATCTTTAAAAACTCAGTGAAGTAGGTTTTATTGTCCTTGTTTTACAGATGAGGAAATCCAAGCTCAGAATGGATAATTCACCTAAGGAAATACAGATGGAAAATGGCGGAGCTGCAATCTAAACCCAGGTCCATCTGATAATAAAGCCCAGGCTCTCCTCAACCAGTGAGTATAAAACAAGCCTGTCACCTGGAAATATGGGTCTTTTGGCTTTTCTGTGGTTCCTGAGAGCTGTGTGATTCCTGAATAGCATTTGTGATTTTTCTAGGATGCTTCCAGTGAGACGCCGTGCTCCCTCCCTGTGTGGAGGGAGCCTTTCTCTACCTCGAGAAAATACTGAATGAAAAGCAATGGCACCAGAAGTTTCTAGAAGTTACTTATATGGCAAGTCCAAGTATTTGAGAACACATTTGAGATTCAAGAAGGAGGCAAAAAGGCTTCTGCCGAGCAGTCAAAATGACAAAGTTTGTAAACTTCACTTTATTGGGGTCCCTGCTCAAAGTCTACCTACTGTTAAAAAAAAAAGAAAAGGGAACACGCTATTAACACTGTTCTGCACACTGTATTTTTCAGTTAACAACTGGTGAGTATTCCCTTTTAGCACACATAGATCTACCTCATTCGCTTAAGGACTGTGTAGTGCTGCATTGTGTGAACGCACCAAATGGTATTTATCCTGCATTCTCTATACAGACATTTTAGACACTTACAAGGGTTGGGGCTCAGAAAGTGATACTCCAAAGACTGATGTTTTGACATGCTGAGAGCCCTCAGAAGCCACCTCCAAATCAAGGTCCCTCTAACTTCTTATTCCCCATACCTGCCCCACTACCAAGCACAGGGAGGGACTGTCTCTGTCTTTGGAAATTTCCTCATCTGACTGAGAAAGTGTCTTTCCAAAAGAAATGCAATTGTCTTAAACAGCCTCCCTAGAGGTCTCATCAAATAACCAAGAAAGATAAACCACCAGAAGAGATGAGACTGTGAATCATCACCACACCCAGACAGACTTCATCTATTCTTCTGAGGGCAGCTCCAAGAGATTGCCTGGAGGACTTTATCTGCTTAATAAGACAACCTTTGTTCCTGTGCAGCTCCGCCCCTCACCTTCCTGTAATGTCTGCCTCCCACCTCCCCAATCCACACATCTCCTCCCTCCTGTATGAAAAAGGGTGCACAAGCTTCTGTGCCCCATTGGGTTATTGGGTAATCATTGTCTTGTGATTCCCCTGTGCCATGCACACTAAAATAAAATTTTTTATGCCTTTTCTCCTATCGATCTGCCTTTGGTCAGTTGATTTTTCAATGAACCTTCAGAAGGCAAAGGGGAAGTTTTCCCTTGGCCCCTATACATGTCTTCTGTGACTATAGATAATGCTGTCATGAACACCCTTTCTTCCCCCATGTCAGATGGGTAATGCACTAACATTGTAACAAGATTGGAGGAAGGCATATGTCACACATGAGCATGAAAACCCAATCACCATGCTTACGAACTACAAAAAGTACATGGAACTGCCTTATCCATGAGTCAGATGAACCCAAAGAACTTGTTTCCCAGCCCTTCCTGGAGCAGAATCAGTGAAGAGGAGGGGAAAGGGTTGCTAGAGGCTGTTGGCCTGAAGCAATACAAGCTACTGCTGACAGTCTGGCAGGAGAAAGGAGACATAAAACTCTACAAAGCAAACACTGGAATTAAAGAAGCAAAACAGGCCGGGACCATTTAGCAGAAGGTCCAAGCAGTCCAAGATGGTAGAGTAGGCCTTTAGCATATATGAACTGGGGTGGAGAAGTCCACTTAACCGTGAAGAAAGGGGCTTAAATCTCTTCTCCATGCTCCGTTTTAGAGGGCAGAAGAGTGTAAAATCCATTTTAGAATTATTTTCCTCTAAAATGGCCATCTAGGAAAAGGTCCAGCACTTGAAAGGGCAAACGTTGACTGTGTATGTAGCACACACCATAACCTATGGCGTTGGATACAGTGCTATTGTACAAAAATTGATTGCTTTTTTTGAAAAACAAGGACAGACAAGGCCTGTAAAGAATATGGAAGATGGGCTCTTAGAAAAGGTGGACATTTTGGCGGGGTGCTATGGCTCACGCCTGTAATCCCAGCACTTTGGGAGGCTGAGGTGGGCAGATCACCTGAGGTCGGAAGTTCAAGACCAGACCAACCAACTTGGAGAAGCCCCGTCTCTACTAAAAATACAAAAATTAGCTGGGCATGGTGGCACATGCCTATAATCCCAGTGACTCGGGAGGCTGAGGCAGGAGAATCACTTGAACCCTGGAGGTGGCGGTTGCGATGAGTGGAGATCACACCACTGCACTCCAGCCTGGGCAACAAGAGCGAAACTCCGTCTCAAAAAAAAAAAGAAAGAAAGAAAGAAAAGGTGGAAATTTTATGTCTCCTGGACAGCCCTCGAGAGAGCCTTCCTCCTCTTCTGTTGGAGGAATCCGATTAGTATCTCCCAGTTTTGTAAGTTTATGCTGCGGAGGAGAGAGAAGAATGATGCAGGAGGACAAGGCCATTATTTAAGCTGGTGTTTGACCCAAAGGCCGGGACCCTGGTGATCCCCAAAGATCTTTGGAGAGGACATCCTCAGAGGGCACCTACCAAGTCTCTTTTAACTGTCTTTGGCCCCTCACTCCGTTCTAATTAGGCAGAGGATGGAGAAACTCTCCAGGTGTGTTGTCTGAAGAGTTCCCACTTAGCAACACTAATATCAAGAAACCATGAATTATTAATGGATTGTTGCTGCAATTAGCAACACAAACACCAATATCATCTGATGGCATCTGAAACAGAGACAAGACTGTTGAGATGGAGTCCAGAGGAGGGCCCGGGGGTGGATGGAGAATCTTCCTGAAAGAGGGGTTCTGAAGCGAAGCCAGTTGAGGATGAGTCCAGTTGGAGGGGAGAGTGGGTGGAGAGTTGAAGAGGACAGAAACAGCAGTGAGTTTGCAGGGGTTCTCAGGGTGGATCACCTATTGAGACACCATTATAGAAAAGGCAATAGAGGGGAAAGAAGGGTGCGGTGGCTCACACCTGTAATCCCAGCACTTTGGGAGGCTGAGACAGGCAGACTGCTTGAGCCCAGGAATTTGAGATCAGCCTAGCCAACACAGTGAGACCCTTTCTCTACAAAAAAAATACAAAAAATTAGCTGGGCATGTTGGTGTATGCCTGTACTACCAGCTGTTCAGGAGGCTGAAGTGGGAGGATCACCTGAGTCTGGGGAAGTCGAGGCTGCAGTGAGCCAAGATTGCACCACTGCACTCCAGACTGGGTCAGAGAGTGAGAGCCTATCTTACCAAATTTAGAGAAAAAAAGGAGGGTACCATCTTAAGGGGGATCAGAGTTGCACCTGCCATGTTTATACAGCCATGCATCACTTCACAATGGAGGTATGTTTTCATCATCATGCAATGTATTTACACAAGCCTAGATGGCATCGCCTCCTGCACACATAGGCTATATGGCGTAGCCTATTGCTCCTAGGTTACAAGCCTGCATGGCATGTGACTGTACTGAACACTGTTGGCAGTTGTAACACAATGGTGAGTATTTGTCTGTCTAAACAAATCTGAACATACAAAAGGTACAATAGGCCAGGTGCACTGACTCATGCCTGTCATCTCAACACTTTGGGAAGCTGACAAGGGAGGATTGCTTGAGCCCAGATAAACATCCCTTCAGGTATTTTCTTCTCACAGTCTACAAGATATGCTCAGCCATAAGGCGTTCACCTCCATTTCATCCTCTCCCATGCAAGCCCTATATTCAATATTCTTTCAACCTTCTCTCTCTCTTCATAGATGCTACCCCCTAAATCCCGCCACTCTTCTACCTTCATTTTTTCTTTTTTTTTTTTTTTTTTGAGACAGAGTTTTGCTCTTTTAGCCCAGGCTGGAATGCAACCTCCGCCTCCTGGGTTCAAGCAATTCTCCTGACTCAGCCTTCCAAGTAGCTGGGATGACAGGTGCACACCACAACGCCCAGCTAAAGTACTTCGGTAGAGACGGAGTTTCACCATGTTGGCCAGGCTGGTTTCAAACTCCTGACCTCAGGTGATCCGCCCGCCTCAGCCTCCCAAAGTGGGAGGACTACAGGCGTGAGCCACCACGCCCAGCCTCAACACCAATTTTAAACCCCAACCAACACTCGTGCTCTCATCTAATTAAAAGTTCTCTCACCATGTTTCACCACCTTACTTCCACTCACATAAAGGGAGCCCCAAATTAGTTTATAAATGGCAGCACATCAAAAAACCCTCCCTCCAAGCAGGATATGCCATCATTAAGGGATAACATAATGATACCCACTCTCTCCACCTAAAAGAGTTGTAGAGGCTGCCCCCTTGCCTTTGGGCACATCCTCCAAACAAACAGAATTAGTTGCTCTAATAAGAGCACTAACCCTAGCAAAAAACACACAAGTTAATTTATACACCGATTCTAAATATGCCTATAACATCATCCATTCCAATGCCCAAATTTGGAAAGAGCAGGGCTATCTCATGGCCGAGGGAACTCCTATCATTAATGGAAAACTAATCCATCATCTACAGGCAGCTTTACTTCCAGAAAAGGTTGCAGTTATCCATTGCAAAGGACATCAATCAGATAAAAGCCACATTTCTTTAGGGAACCGTGAGGCTGACTATTGAGCAAAACACGTCTCAACCAATCATCGAATTCCCCCATATCTATTTCCCCTCATACAACATATCCCCTCCTTTTATCCTAAACACCAAATACAGCAACTAGTTACGCCAGGGGCACAATTGAAACCCCCATACTGGCTCATACAAAACAAATTAGTCCCACCTAACCCTAAAAAAAACAACTCTTTTATGAGACATTCACAATCTTTTCCATAGTAGCCATTCCCCTCCACGACATTTCATAAGTTCTCATATACACATAACCCCAGATATAAAGGAACAGTTAAAAGCCATTTCCCATCAATGCTCTATTTGCCAGAAAGCATCACCCTATTCCAACACTAAACCTCTTCTTTCCCAAACCATCAAGCCAGGGGACACCTTTCAGGACAAGACCGCAAATTAATTTTACCCATATGCACCAGGAAGAAAGGCTCAGTTTCTTTTAGTTCCGGCTAATACCTTTTCAGGATGGGTGGAGGCTTTTTCCATCCAACAGTAGAATTTCTATTATTGCCTCCAAATTAATAACAGAAATCATTCCCAGGTTCGGGGTGCCTCTTTCTTTCCAATCTGATAATGGCCCTGAATTCATTTATCAAATTACTCAAACAATTGCAGAAGCCCTGCTAATGACCTGGAAGCTACACATCCCCTATCAACCTCAATCTTCAGGAAAGGTTAAAAAAATGAGTAACATTCTAAAAAACACCCTCACCAAGTATTCACTCCAAACACATACAAACTGGGTTACCCTTTTACCTTTGGCCCTTCTAAAAATGCAGGCACTCCCACCTAAACCTCCAGTGCTCAGCCCCTTTAAACTCAAGTCCGAAGGACTACTCACTCCTTTTGTTCCACCTCAGAGTCAAGGCCCGCCTCTACCCACCCCTCTCATTTCCCCTCTTCTACATACCATCCGCCATTTTATTTGGGAATATGCTGACAAATGCCTGCCACAACCTGTAACCGACTCCTCTAATCCCTTCCTACAGCCAGGAGACTGGGTTCTGGTAAAAGATCCCAGTCCTACCCCCAATTCCCCCCCTCACACCTAAATGGAAGGGATCTTACCAGATCATCCTTACCACACCCACAGCAGCAAAACTCCAAGGACTCCCCAACTGGTTTCATTATACTTTTCTCAAGAAAACAGACTTCCCTTCACCACATACCCAAACAACCAAGTCTAAAACCCCTTCAGCCTTTTCTTATGTCTCCATAGGACCCACTTCCCTTCACCTCACCTGAATCCCAAAGAAAAAGGAAGAGAAATCCACGTAAGCCACTTACATCTCTTTCTCTCCCAAACTTTTCATCGCTTCCTAACCAACCTCATTACAGCCCTTCAGTGGTACCCTTACAAAATTCCCATTCTGCATCCTGATCAGCTCCTTACTGTGTTGTGGGACCTATGGCTTCAAGGAACTTTCCAGGACTTTAGTCCTACCCAAATAACTTTCTTCTCTTTTTGCTTGTTTCTTTCAATATAAATTCCCTAATCACATCAACCTCACCAATACAACCACTCCTCGCTGCTCTCAAACTAGAACTCTCTATAAACCTTACACGATCCCTCTTGCTGCAAGCTAACTGTTCCTTTGCTCCAGAAAGCTGAATGTGCTTATCGCTGTCTTCCTCAGCTTACACAGCCCTTCCTACACCCCTTCATGACCTTTTAACAGGAAACATAACCTAATTTATAAACTCCAAAAAGGAGCTTCCTTTTTCAAAAGAGCTGACACCCTGGTCAGCGATTATCCCACTTCCAGGGCCAATCAGGCCAACAAATTATTTCAAACCTATTACAACTCCCTACAACACCTCAAGCCCCAAGGCCCTTCTATTAAAGGGCCCATAACTAAACACACCCCCCTTTTACTACAAGCCTCACTTTGCTTTTCAGCCTCTAAGGAAAATTTTCCTGTAGGATCCTTAACACCTAACCAATGCAACCACACTATCATTATTAAAAACCCCTCTGACCATCAAACTAATGAAGTTGACTACCAAGGATCACCAGAAGCAAATGGAGCATTTCTGCAACCAGCTCGTTTTACAGCCTCTCCCTCAACTAATGCCTCCGGCCCAACTTGTGTTGTCCCTGGTGCCCACCTTTTTCCATGGTTGTATATCAATGGTGCAACGTCCAACTGCATATTGTGTAAAAAATAACTCTTCCTATATCTCTACTATAGTGGGTGTCTCCCTGGCCTCCTCCTTGTCCACCTGGAGTAATGAACCACAGGAAAGAAACAGTACCCTATCTTTAATTCACTTGTTTTCTTTCCATATCTCCATCTGTATTTACAATGAAGGCTTGTTCTTTTGGTGTGGCACCAACACATGTCTTTGTCTCCCCACCAACTAAACTGGAACCTGTGCCCTAGTTTATCTTTCTCCCTCCACTAAACTAGTTCCTCCTAATCAAACTCTACCCATTCCATCTGTCCAATAGGTTTTAAAAAAGAGGGCCATCCACGTCATTCCTTTGATGGTGGCCTATAAGTGTAACCTCTATACTTGGATTGGGAGCAGGCAGATCGGCCACCTCTTTAACATACTTTTAAAAACTCTTTCAACAGAACTACAGGGTTCTTTTAAAAATATAGCCCAAAGCCTTATAAAAGCCTAAGACCAACTAGACTCCTTAGCTGGAGTAGTCCTCCCAAATAAATGGGGATTAAATCTTATAACAGCTGAAAAAGGGGGCCTCTGCCTCTCATTGGGTGAGAAATGTTGCTTCTATCTCAACCAATCAGGCGTAGTAAGAAACACTGCTGAAAAACTTTTAAAAAGGGCTAAAAAGCTAAGGAACAGCAAAACAACCAAATAAATTATTGGTTTGGAAACAAAATCATAACACAGGCCATCCCATTCCTGGGCTCTCTCCTAATAATATGCCTAGGACTAATGTTCTTACCCTGCCTAATCAACCTTTTTCAAAGATATTTAACTGACAGAATCATGCCTATCTCACAGACTACTACCCAAAAGCATCTACAGATAGCATTACTCCTACAGTCAATCCAAGACCAAAAAACTCTCCATGCTCCCCTCAGCAGGAAATAGCCAAAAAAAAAAAAAAAACATGCCGCCCTTTGTCCTTTTATAATTATAAGGTCTGGATTGACAGAGCAGGAGCATCACCATCTTGGGCAAACACCACTATTTTAAGTTCTCCTTGATTAAAAATCAGCCCCAAACATCAGCCTAATGGGTAATGTCAACATGACCAGAAACATTCCAACTCTAAGATAAATCTCCCCTCCGACCAGATACTCCAACCCTGAAATAAAACTCTCCTTCACACAGAAACATTCTGAGCCTGCGATAAGCTCCCCCTCCCTAAATCCTTAAATACCCTTAGTCTGTAAGAGAAAACACTCCTGACCGAAATCAGCCAGAAGCCCCTCTCAGGTTTATTCCCAGAATAAACCTGTCTTTGACTGTTATGCTGCTTTTCATGTTTCTTTCCTCTTTTTTAACTCTTACAAGAAGAGGGCTTGTGCAGGAAAACTCCTTGTTATAGTAACCATCAGATCTCATGAGATTTACTCACTATCATGAGAACAGCACAGGAAAGACCTGCCCCCGTGATTCAATTACCTCCCACCAGGTCCCTCCCACAATATGTGGGAATTCAAGAAGAGATTTGAGTGGGGACATGGCCAAACCATATCAGATGGGGTCTTGTTATGTTGTCCAGGCTCAATGTTTGTTCATCTCCTTTAGGAAGATGAGGGAGTCTCCCCCAACTCCATTACCACCATCAGTTTACCAATTGAAAGGTGGGTTTCTCTTGAAAATGGAGGGATGGGCATGAGGAATTTTTGATATGATGTTGATGAAGGGGACTGCATGCAACAGCTGTCACCACACAGGCATGACGTAGTTCAGTCTATTACTAACAACAAAAACAATCAGATGGCAAGTAAGTCTAACAGCTCTCCTCCCATTCCATTTCAAGTTTCCTCTCAAAGTGCTTTCTAAGTAACTCATAAATAAGTGAGTACTTACAGACAGTGGTGCAGGTGGGACCCACTTGGTACTCAGTGCCCGACACAGAAGCCAGAGCTTTGGCCGCACGCCTCGCCACCTTGTCCTGGGAAGGGGGAACGTGGAGTGAGAAAAAATGGATCCTGAAGCTTGACCTTCCTCAGCTGCTCTGCTCTGGGATGGTTTGGAAGATTGATTCTCGGCCCGTCTCCTGATTTCCTTTCTGGTCCCTTCTTTCCCCTTCACCCAGTGCCAAGGCCCAACTGTAAACTGAGGGAGGTGGCATGGTTCCTTCAACTCCTTCTCCCACCACACACCCAGTTCTTGACTCTCAGTTTGGGGGAGGAGATGAGGAGGGAAGTGGAAGCCTGTGCATTATGTACTCAGATTGGAAGAGGTAGGGGGTCTGGAGCTACTCACTGACCCGCTAGGAATCTAGTAAAGGCACCATCTTCACCTATCCTGAGAAGGGGGACGTCACTCATACATGAGGGAAGACCAAGTATGTTCAAGGGAAAGCTCTCAAAGAGTTGGGTGTTGCAGAGTAGAGGAGGAGAAGGACCACCATAGGTGAATGGTCCCTGTGTAGAGTGCCTGCCCGAGAGGCCAGCTGGGAGTAGGGGAGCAGAATCAAGCCCACAATTTGCCATGAGCCTGGGAGGGGCTGCATCTGCCCGAGGTTTAAGGGCTGGCTGTGGCCCTGGCCAGCCACCTGCAGTCACCCTCCAGATGTCAGGCCTGCTCCTGATGGCCCACGTTCTGGATAAGACACAGAGCATCCCAGGCCGTGGCCTTCACCCTCCTTAAACTCTTCCTTCACTAGAGTGAGGAGCTCTCCCCATTGCTCACCCGGGTGCCACCCACAGTCCTTGGTAAGCAGCGGGTCCACAACACATGGCAGTCAGAAAAACAAGGGAGAAGGAAAGGCGGGGCAGGCATGGTTCAGGGAACTCATAGCAGACACAGAAATAAAGAGCACTGTCTTCCTGTCCCCAGGAGATGACAGCGTATCCCAAAGGGCAGGGAGAGAAGACTGGGCCTTCAATGAAACATGCCCAGGCTCCTGGACTCTCCCTATAAAGCTGCAGAGCTACCACCTTAGCAGCGCCAGGAGGGTCAGGCAGGCCCCAGGCTGGGTGGGAGGCAGCTGTGACTCACCAGCTCCTTGGCATCTGGGGCCTTTTTGGCTGAGTATCCATATGGATACATCAGCAGCTGCGAGTAGCTGTGCAGGTCGATGAAGCACTTGAAATTCCCATGTTTTTGGATGAAATCTACCACCGATTTCACCTCCACTTCTGAATTGGCATGGGGTCCATGGTACACTTCGGAGCAAGGGTTGTCACTGGCTCCCTTTCCTGTTGGGGATAGCCCAAGAAGAAACATTAACTCATAATCCGGGAACACAGAAATGCAAGACATTCCACCTAGAGAGGGGCCAAAGGTATTGGGAATGGGCAGGCCACGGTGAGACGGCCCAGAGCACCTAGTCCACGGTGGGTGTGGACTGCAGAGAAGGCACGGAAGAGGGAGGGTTGGGTGTTGGGTCTGCTACAGCTGAGGAGAAAAACTGTTGGAGTTGACCTTGCCTTGTACCAACAGCAGTTGTCATAAATAATTAATAGCACCCTTGAGAATGAGTTGTAATTAATAAGTAGTCTAGATAATTAATACGAATACCAATAAATAATGAAAATGACTCCATTTATTCTGGTGTCAACTTATTCTCTTGGTTCAGATCTTAAAGGCCAAGTGTGCCAGAAATAATCGATTGTTGTGGCTAAAATCTCTTGATTATTTGACAGGTTTTTAGAAACACTGCCTTCTGTATTACTTCATAATGTGGTTCCCTTGGGTTTCTGGGGTGTGTGTGTGCACACGTGCGTGTGTGTGTGCGTGTATGAGTGTGACTGAAACCACCCCAGTGGTGGGAATATCTGACTTAACTTTGAAGCTCTGAGTTCCCACATTTGTATCAGTTCCTTTCCCACAGTCATCATTTTCCCCCACTGGTTTATGTGGTATTTCTACACAAGTAAAAGAAGTACATTAAAAACAAACCATCAGGGCCGGGCACAGTGCCTCATGCCTATAATCCCAGCAATTTGAGAGGCTGTGGTGGAAGGATCACAAGCCCAGGAGTTCAAGACCAGCCTGGGCAACATGGCAAAACTCCACCTTCACAAAAAAATACAAAAATTAGCTGGGCATTGTGGCATGTGCCTATAGTCCCAGCTACTCGGGAGGCTGAGGTGGGAGCATCGTTTAAACCCAGGATGTCGAGGCTGCAGTGAGCCGTGATCATGCCACTGTACTCCAGCCTGGATGACAGAGCACGACCCTGTCTCAACAAAACAAAACAACCAACCAACCCCATCAGCACAGCCATGGAATAGTGAAAGGGAACTGTCTGGATCTGGAATTGGAAAGTGAGTTTAGATCAGAACTCTGATCACCCATGTCATCTTGAGATAGTCTCTGAGCTTCCACCATCTCATTTCAGATCATAAAATTCACCCGCTAGGTGAGAAGAATAAATATGATAAATATGGGAAGGTACTTGGTACACAGTCGGCACTTTTGTGGAGGATGGTTTTTAAATTGCTGGCACTCAGAGCCCAGGTCTCCTAATTCTCTTTCCCTTTCCATGACAGCCAGCTGCTAAGGTTCATATCTACACATCTAAGGGTACTGGAGTGGAATTTTCAAGCATGGTCTTGCCTATTGGGGTGACAGTGCTAATTCCTCTCTTCTGAGTTGCTGCCAGGAGTCCTTCCACCCGCTCAGAACTTGCCCAGGCAGGGCTGGTAGTGTCAGGGATAAGGAAGGTTCCCCGTTTTGTATGTCTTAGAAGAGGGCGTTTTTAAAATATTAGTGCAGATGACAACCTCAATGTAAGATGGTCTGTCCCACCATTCTCTCAGGAGGACAGACATTACTATCACTCCCTTTCAAAATTATAAAAACACATTTTAAAAAACAACAAACAGGCCGGGTTTGATGGCTCATGCCTGTAATCCCAGCACTTTGGGAGGCTGAGACGGGCAGATGACCTGAGTTCAGGAGTTCAAGACCAACCTGGTCAAAATGGCAAAACCCTGTCTCTACTGAAAATACAAAAATTAGCTGGGCATGGTGGCATGCACCTGTAGTCCCAGCTACTCAGGAGACTGAGGCAGGAGAATCATTTGAACCCGGTAGACAGAGGTTGCAGTGAGAGTGAGCCAAGATCCTGCCACTGCACTCTAGTCAATGGAGCAAGACTCCGTCTCAAAAAAAAAAAAAAAAGGCTGGGCTCGGTGGCTCATGGCTGTAATCCCAGCACTTTGGAAGGCTGAGGCAGGTGGATCATGAGGTCAGGAGATCAAAACCATCCTGGCCAACATGGTGAAATCCCATCTCTACTTAGGCATGGTGGCAGGCGCCTGTAGTCCCAGCTACTCAGGAGGCTAAGGCAGGAGAATCACTTGAACCCAGGAGGCGGAGGTTGCAGTGAGCCAAGATTGTGCCACTGCACTCCAGCCTGGGCAACAGAGCGAGACTCCGTCTCAAAACAACAACAGCAACAAACAAAACACTAAGTCAGAGCCTAAGGAGTGCTCCTCAGTTTCTCAGTGACGCAGCAATGGAACCAGAGTGGAAATGGGCTCTGTCCTGGCCAGCTCAGAGCACTGGTAGACCAGGCGAGCCCAGGGACAGCAGGATTTGAAAACTGTCTCCCCACCACCTACCTGCAAAACTAGCGTTCCAGTTTCTATTTGGGTCAGCACCAACGCAGGAGCTTCCAGGATTTAGGGACCGCGTCTTCCTCCATAATCGGTTCTGAAAAAGCCACCAAGGAGGGGACAAACAACCCGAGGCAGATCAGAGCACTGAAGAGGGCTAAGGTGGAGACAACACACAGGCAGGGCAGGCTGCTCACAGTTCTGCCGTGAGGGCCCTGGGGCTCCGGTGCTCACTGAGCAGTCGCCTCTCCTCCCGCAGAGAGAGGAGTATTTCCCCTTCTGGCTCTAAGAGAAGGACTTCTTCCAAATGTACTGATGAGACCTTTATGTGCTAGAACCAGTCAGAAACTACCTGAAACCACTGAATCATTTTTGGCTTTGGTAGAAGTGGGACAAATGGACACTATATGCCTATTTGATAACAGACGTAACTGGAAGTGCACAGCCCGTTTCTTGCTTGCCTAAAAAATTCCCCTGAATCCAGTCAGGCTCTAGACCTGGCAATCTGTGAATAGGAAATACCGCAGATAAGGGAACAAACTAAATGGCATAACGAAGAAGCCATCAGCCAAATTCAGAATGTGAGACACTGTACAGGGCAAATTACTTGGCTTCTCCCCTAAATGAGTGAGACTTTTAAAAGGTGTGTGTGTGGGTGCTGTTGTAGAATGAAAGAGACTGCAGAGACACAGCACCACGTGCATGCGCAGACCTTGTTGGGTCCTCACTTGAACAAATTGACTCTTAAAAACACTTTTTTTTTTTTTTTTTTTGGAGACGGAGTCTCACTCTGTCGCCCAGGCTGGAGTGCAGTGGCTGCCATCTCGGCTCACTGCAAGCTCCACCTCCGGGTTCACACCATTCTGCCTCAGCCTCCCGAATAGCTGGGACTACAAGCGCCCACCACCGTGCCTGGCTAATTGTTTTGTATTTTTAACAGAGGCGGGGTTTCACTGTGTTAGCCAGGATGGTCTCGATCTGCTGACCTCATGATCTGCCCACCTCGGCCTCCCAAAGTGCTGCGATTACAGGCGTGAGCCACCGCGCCCGGCCTCGACCTCCATTTTTAAGATAACTGGGGGTGGTGTTAGATGATATGAAAGAACTTCCATTATTCCTTTAAAAGTGATAATAGCGCCACGGGGTTTTTTAAGGTTTTTTTTGTTTTTTTGTTTTTTGTTTTCCATCATCAGTTAGAGATGCATACTAAACTAGTTTAGGGTGAAATAACATAATGTGTTGAATTTGTTTTAAACACGTCAGGAAAAAGAATGTGTGGGAGGGTAAGAGATGGAAAGAAGATTGGTAAAATGTTGGTCATTGTTAAGACCCATGATAGGGAGTTCATTAGACTATTTTCTCTAAGAAAAAATATCCCCTGGTGATTCTCAGCTCTGAGGATGACTAGAAGAAGAAATCCCAAGGAAGCTCATAAGGTGCACATTTGTGGTAATTCTCTCCAAGGTCAGACAATTAGTGGCAAAGCAAGGAATTCAACAGTCTCCAAGCCCAGCCCATTTGGGAATACTCACTTGAGTTTGAGTATACACATATCCATCAGGATTGGCCACAGGCAACAAGAAAATATCCATTTTTTCCAAGATGGAGGTGATAGCTGGATCCCTCTGGTAATCAGATACAATCTAAGCAGAGACAATATGCTTGTCAGCTATCCCATAGCAGGATGGGTCATTAGGGCTGAACCATGTATCTTCTAAAGATGCCCAGCATCCAGCTAGAATGGATGCTCCTAGAACAGCATCTAACCTCAAAAGCCTCCCTGCCACCCTCAAAGGCTTTGCTCTCTGCAAAGCCCTCTGAGCCCTTCAAATCCTGGAGAGACACAGCTGCTTGGGGACATGGCTGCTAATGACATCAACTGCAGTGAGTCCTGGGGTACATGCTTTATTCCTTCCTTCCAGGAGGAGGGAGTCACACATCGTAATAGTTTGTAGGAATTTGAACCTCCAATGAAGAGGGAGGGAAGATGTATCCTCCACATGCAACCCTCCTCTCCCAGCAGCCTTTCTTTCTTTCTTTCTTTCTTTTTTTTTAAGACAGGGTCTCACTCTGTTGCCCAGGCTGGAGTGCAGTAGCATGATCTCAGCTCACCACAACCTCCACCTTCTGGGTTCAAGGGATTCTCCTGCCTCAGCCTCTTCAGTAGCTGCCCTCCCAGCAGCCTTTCTAGGAGATGGAGATGGCAATGAGGTCCCCAAGGGCCTGTGGGGCCTCCGCTGGGTGTTGCTCCACTCCCTTTCTGTGGGGTGGACTGCGCTCAGAGGCTCAGGCCCACCTCTGCTGCATGTCAGCTTGTGCACCAGCAGGAACGCAATCATTTGGCTGCAATGAGCTGACCAAGGGGCTTTGACCATTTGCTTCTCCACTCTGAAAAGGCCCCCAGCCGACTGGGTCTTAGCAGAGCACCCTCCCACCTCGTGCCCCAGGCCCAGCTACATGGCATGCTTCAGGGGCACCCCGGGCCCATCAGCATTCTTGGCTAATACCAGGCGACATGACCTTCCTTGCCGTCCAGATTGCAGTGGCCTGGGAGATCCACTCTCGGGAATGGATGCCTGCATTCAGCCAAATGGCCGGCCGCCGCGCGCCTTCCCCAGTGCTGAACTGCAGAAGGGAGAAAAGGCTCAAAAATGACCGCCTGCCCACATCTCTGCTCACTTCTCCTCTCTCCAGCTCTCTCCCATTCATTTAATTCATTTAAGATAATTCAGAGACCAAATGTTCCTAAGGGCACCATCTATTTATCGAGCTTATCCGTGACCAGGAAGCTTAATTGGTTGGCTGCGGGGCCAAGCTGCAGCTCCAGGCAGCCTGAACCTCTCCAGCATTCGGAGTAAATGGGAGGGGGAAACAATCGTTACTGTGTTTTATGATGCTGGTGCCATTAGAGATAATGTTATGTCTCTTGAAAGACCTCAAATGGTATCCCAACAGCGAGAGACACAAGGGTACACAAACCAGGCTGTTTCGGTCGATAAGATAAATGAATTTGGTTTTAAACTAAGAAGAAGCGGGGCTCGCTATAGCTCTTTGTAAATGGCAGTCATGAATCCTGGCTCCTGCCTTTGCCATAGTGTTGGGCTCCCTTGGGTCAGAGCTTGGTGCTAATGAAGCCAGGGTCTCCATCAGATTGGCAAAATATTTAAATGTAATTATCCAGCTCCGCGGCAGGTCTCCTCTCCCACTGGTAATTTGCTTAGTGCCACAAGCCTGAGTTCTTTGGGACTTACAAGAAGCTGAGGGTTTGGCAAATTCTTAGCACCTTCAGTGTTCCATGGGTTATATGCCCAAATTCCTTCTTATTCATTCAGCTGGATTTTTATGTAATTTATGTCATTATCATAGTTCTTTACCTCTTTTGCCAATATAGTCTTGAATCTGTTAGAAATATTTGGAAATTAGGCTTTGTGCAGCCAAGGATCAGAGGCTGTGCTTAAAATTACACCAACCCTCGAATTCACTTCCTAGGTTGATTTTCCAATAAGTACCCCCTGCAAGCAGAATGGAAGTCAGGCCCATCCCAACTTGTCCTGCTATTTACAGAGGTGAGAATGAAAGTAAAAGACTCTGTCCCATCTGAGAGTTTTCTGGAATACTAATCGCCTCCCTCTGATCCTGTCTTTCAGCCAAAACTTGGATGAGATGTGCTTCTTCTAACTCCCCCTACATTAGACAAAAGCAGGGGACTCTGTCAGACCAAATTCCAGCCCAGGTACAACGTGTCCTGATCTCGCTTTCCTCCCTGAAGTCAAGGAGTTCAAAAAGCTGCCCTTTTCAGAGGTCTGAGGCTGGGTCCTGGACATGAGGACCCAGGAGGTCCTTCCAAATGCTTGTGGCCTCACCTTCAGTACATACATCGGCCGGTTTTCAAACGAATGTCCAATCTTCACCCTCCTCACCAGGTCAGGAAAGTCTGCGGCAATGTTGTCCATCTCGTGGTAAATCTGAAGCATGAAAGAGCGAACCCAGGGACATTTTAAAAATCTGCTCAGCTCTGGCTGGGTATCTGTGATTTACTTTGTTGGTCTTAATTATCTCTTCCGGGACTCTAATCTTGGAGTTGACCATATTATCAGCATGGAAATGCTGAGTATGAGAACTGCCTGAATAGTCCTTTTCTGCAGTTTTCTAGAGAGTAGCACACTTTATTTGTTCACAAAATTGTAGTCCACTAAACTAGAGTAGAGAGGCTTTTGCAATATTGCTCTAACACTGTGTCCTTTGTCACTGTACTAGACTGGACAGTCAAAGACAAGGGGCCAGGCGCAGTTACTCACGCCTGTGATCCCAGCACTCTGAGAGACTGAGGCGGCAGGATTGCTTGAGGCCAGGAGTTTGAGACAGCCTGGGCAACATAGTGAGACGCCAACTCTATAAGAAACATTGAAAAATAAAAATAGTTCATAAAAAATACGGAAGAGGAAAGACATTTAAAAATTTAAGAATAAGATTCTTAAAAAAAAGAAAGAAATTTTAAAATTTAAGAATAATAATAAAATAAAATAAAAACAAGCCAGGTGCAGTGGCTCATGCCTATAGTCCCAGTACTTTGGGAGACCAAGGTGGGAGAATTACTTGAGCCCAGGAGTTCGAGAGCAGCCTGGGCAAAGTAAGGAGACCCCCCAGCTCTACAAATAATGAAAAAAAAAATAGCCAGCTGTGGTGGCGTGTGTCTGTGGTTCCAGCTACTCGGGAAGCTGAGGTGGGAGATTCATTCAAGCCTGGGAGGTTTAGGCTACAGTGAGCTGTGAATGCACCACTGCACTCCAGCCTGGGCGAGTGAGGCCCTGTCTGAAAAATAAAAAATAAAAAGAAAGCTCCAAAGCTCTTAAATCATTACTCTCTAAAATTCTGTGATCACTTTCTCTACTCAAAAATAATAAAAAATTAGCATGCACCATATATATGTACACACACACACACAATGATACAAATATACTGTGTGCATTATTAAACAATTGAAATGGTTGTGTTAATAATAAACATAAACATATGTAGAAATATAAATAGAAGTTGTAATCGTTTCTTCCTTCATCCCTGTGGACTATCTTGCTTATACCCTGTGGATACATGTGCGCCGCTTTGGAGATAATTTATCTAAAGGCTTTGAGAGTGCAAGTGAAGAAAGGCAAATAAATGGCTAAGAATACCCTTATTTGCTTTCGGGAAAAAAGTTCAATTTAAATAGAATTTATCCATCTTAGTTTTCAAACCACTTGAGGGCCAAAAGAAAATAAACAAATGTATTTGTTTCGGCCTTACGACTGGAAGAAGGAACTATACAGAAGAGGAAAATGTGTAATTAATATAGAACAAAGTCAAGCTTAAAGGGTTTATCAGACTTGCTGTCGATATGGTAGACTGAGCAGAAGCAAGAAACCACCTCCAAATACATAGGCAAACCAGGTAAAATACAAGGAAAATGATTCACAGCCAAGTTAAAAAGCTAAACAAGAGGAAATTGTAGGTGCCAGAAACAAAGAAGGAACTAACTAGGAGGGTAGAGGGTGGGAGATGATGCCACAGAACACCATCTCTGCCTTGGGTGCTACAGGCTTAGGCAAACCTGGACTAGGAGGGGAGCCATAGGACCCAGCATGGCACAAGGAGCTGGAAACTGAGAGCTAGGAATGGGCAATTTGGGCCACAGAAAGGGCCTACAAGTTCTACCCACTCTACCCACTGACCCTAGAGAGTGGAGGAAAAGCAAGGATAGCTGCCTTGAGCCTTGGGAGACACTCACTGCTTGGGCCACACTCACTGCTTTCAAAACACCAAGCTGTGTCCCGGTGTGGGGTGCAAATTCACACTGTCCACCACTGCCACACACAGACAATGGCTTTGGAACCAGAAACTCTGGCAGAGACCAACACGAAATTCCCACTAGAGACCTAAGAAAGCCTAAGTGGTTATATGAGCCAGTATGAGCTTTTCTTTTTTTTTTTGAGACGGACTCTGGCTCCGTCGACCAGGCTGGAGTGCAGTGGTGTGATTTGGGCTCATTGCAACCTCCACCTCCCAGTTTCAAGTGATTCTCCTGCCTCAGCTTCCCAAGTAGCTGGGACTACAAGTGCCTGCCACCATGCCTGGCTAATTTTTGTTTTTTTTTAGTTGAGACAGGGTTTTACCATGTTAGCCAGGCTGGTCCTGAACTACTGACCTCAAGTGATCTGCCCACCTCGGCCTCCCAAAGTGCTGGGATTACAGGTGTGAGCCACCTTGCCCAGCCTAGAATACGAGTTCTTAAAAGCTGTTTTTAGGAAGAACTGCATGTGACTGAGCTAGGATGATGGTGGCACAGTTATCCACAGCAGAGAGCTTCACAGTGAGGACAAGATTGCTGTAAAGGGCGCCTCACACCAGAGAAACCAGAGGTGAGCACGTGAGAGATGGTGAGGCTCCAGCAGCCGGTAGGTAAGGCGATGGCCCCTCCAGGGTCTTGGGTGACATTTGCAACTGTTTAGCTCAGTTGGCGAGGGCCCCATGTTCATGAGGCTTATGTCACGAGCTTGATCCCTGTGTGGGCTCTGAGCTCTGCTTTCGTCCATGGCCTGAGACTGAACTCCTAACTTTATCCAGCTGTTTTGCAGATGTATGTCACTGGTCTCAAGAGGGATCAAGGGTCAGAGCCGTTGGAAGTGTATGCAATAAACAAAGCAACCGACAAGCATGGGAAAGAAGTGGAAATAGTCAACCTTTGAAATCCTCCCTCAAGAAGAGAAACAACTTGAAGTACACGCCTTGTGAAATGCATGCCAACAGCACCATGTCTGTATATCAAGAACAACATGTATTAAGGTACACCAGAGGGAACACTAATTTAGATGTGGGGGAGTGTTCCTGAGCTAGTTGTCTGCAGATGAATGGAGACACTGAGGGCTGTAAGAGAACTGTACCGCATTCATGGTACAGTTCTATTCTACAGCCTCTCTTGATTCCTTAAGTTCCAGTATCCCAGGAAATTTTTCTACTTCAAGTTTTTCATTTGAAGGTTTGGCTTACCTTGAAAGTCAGCCATCTGTATCAAGTGGTTCCTAACTAAACACAGCACCAAAATGCATGATGGAACAACTATATACATTATAAGTAGTCATGATAAATGAGTGGAAATATTTGGTTAACCTTGGAAATCGCCGCTTGTCTACTTGCCTGGAATAAGTAACATTTTATTCTGAGTGAGTAAAATAGAGGGGTTATGGTAGGGTAGAAGAAGTTTGAATTACAAGGACTAGAAATGATTGCAATTATTTTCATGGTGTTCTGAAGGAGTTGCTTAAGGAAAGAAGGATGGTTGAGGGAGGAAATAGCCAGGCTGTATTTCATGACACTCAGGTGCTGGTAGGAGTTAAGCAATCCAAGAATTAGACAGGAATTGAAGTGTACACATCTTAGCCCCTCAGTGAGTGGATACTGTGCTGAAGACTAGTGTCTCCTGGAAGTAAGGAGAGAGGTTACAAAATTAAGGAGGCAGAGAACCTTGATCTTAACCCACTCTGAAACACTTACAGCTTTCAGGGAATGGTAAGCCCCATAGTTGAAGTTATTACTGCGCCGTTCTTGCCCTTCATTCTGTTGCATTTCTTCATCTTCATTGTCTAAAAGGGCCTAAAAACACACAGCAATGTTGTGAAGTGATCCACTGCAGACGCAGGTTTTACGTTTTTTCTGCCATATCTTGGCATATGGGTCAGCCAAGATGGCGGCCCCTTCAGCCCATCAAGCAGCACAAATGTCAAGATTTAAAAGGGGGTCAGATTTCTTTCATATCTTTATAAAATTTTACTTCTTGGCTGGGCTCGGTGGCTCACGCCTATAATCCCAGCACTTTGGGAGGCCGAGGCAGGCAGATCACGAGGTCAGCAGATCAAGACCATCCTGGCCAACATGGTGAGACCCTGTCTCTACTAAAAATACAAAAATTAGCTGGGCGTGGTGGCGCGTGCCTGTAATCCCAGCTACTGGTGAGGCTGAGGCAGGAGAATTGCTTAAACCAGCGAGTTGGAGGTTTCAGTGAGCCAAGATTGCACACTATACTCCAGCCTGGTGAGAGAGAGAGACTCCGTCTCAGGAAAAAAAAAAATTTTTTTACTTCTTGGTGCCCAATTTACATGGCCTCATTCAAAATCCACTTACTCCCTGGAAGCAACATATGCGCTCTTTGGCTATTCTATAGTATGAACTCTCTAGACATGAGCCCGCATCTGGTATCCAGTGCCTCTGAAATACACAGCTTGGGAAACCATTCAGAAACAAAGAAATTCTTATAACCACTCATACTTTGAAGGTTCCTGGCAGATGTCTGTGACATGTGAGGATGATTAATAAGCTCATAGCTGCTAATGCCATCAAGAAACTCCTGGGCCAGATCACCAATTAGTCCATAACCCACCTCGGTGAAGGAGAGAGCATGAGCCAGATACAGGTCGTGAGGCCAGAGGATGGCGTTCCCTCTGCTGGGGCTATCCATGACATTCCTCCTGTCTCCAAGGGTGCCTCTGTGGCGGGTCCCCCACACCCTCCCCCTGCTCTGCTCTTGCCACTTGACTTCAAAGAAGAAAAGAAAGAGGGACTTATGGCTTAATGGCAGATCTAGGATATGCCAGGCACTGTTAGACATTTTACATACATTTAATCCTGAATCTTCTCAACAAATCACATGACAAAGGTCTCACTATCACCATTTTACTGATGAAGAAACGGAGGCTCAGCGGGTTAATAACTTGTCCAAAGACATAGCACACAGCACTAGTAGTTAGCAAAATCAGGATTTGGATCCAAATCTGTGTGGTTCCCTGGCCTATTTATGCCCTTTCTACTACAAAATGTTGTTCCTCTAACAAGTCACTGCACTTTACTTCCATTTGCCTCCATTTCCTCATCCATAAAATAGAAAAGGATAAAACCAGAACTTGCAAATCACTACGGTCTACTCTGGACTGGCTGCCTGGTCCTATGCGAGACCAGGAGGCAGGGGGCATAGTCTACCTACCTGCAGGTCCTCAATTGCCACTGCATACTCTAAGCCCTGGGATCTCAGGAAGGATTTAACTGCCTGCAGACTGACAGATGGGACCAGGACATCCACAGGCCGATTGAAGGTGGAGAGAGATTGCCAGACATCGAGCTGAAGGGAACAGAAATGAAACCAGGTTAAAGGACAGTTCAGGTAAAAAGTACAATGAGCTCATTCTTCTAGAACACTGCCAAAAGCCAGGGTGATCCCTGAGAGGCTGGGCTCTGCCCAAGGTTAAAGTTTGCCCGTTTCACAGTTGTGTCTGGTCAGACCCGCCCAACAAGCAGTATCTGGCAGAGACCGAGCATCACAAGTGGATGGCAGCTAGAAGGATGGGGCATATACTGTTCAAGCATCTCCTCTCCCAGGACACCACAGCTGTGATGTCAACTACAGTGCTCCCTTTCTCCCATTGGCCCCCTCAATTGTGTAAATGGCCAGTGGACTCACACGGGATTATATTCAGAGACTCCTCAGAAATAAAAATAATAATACCAGTAGAGCAAGAGTCTTCTCCTACCAAAGTTAGAAAACACTCAGGAGAGCTAAAAAGAAGCAGATACCTTCAAGTTGTTTGAATTCACTAGTTGACTCAATTTGCTGATCTCGTCTCCATTTCTGACATTAATCCTAAAAACTTGGTCCCTGGGGAAGAAGAAAAAAGAGAAAAAGAGCAAAAGATAATGATGAGCTTTCAGCTGGCAAAGAAACCCCAAGCCTCCTATCCCAGACGCAACCAGGCCGAAAGAAAGGAAATGGTCTAGTCTTTGGTTTTAATGTATGGCCATTAAAAATGAGGCTACATGGCAACTATGAAAAAGTGCTTATGGCATAACTTTAAGGGAAATATTAAGCGAAAGAGCAGGACACAAAATTGTATGTATGCCATGATTATAAGTATGGAAAAAGCAGATGCATTGGAAGAAAAACAGACAGCGGAAATATACCAAATGCTGACAGCCCTTATGTTCGGGTCGTGGGATTATGGATGACTTACTTTTTTCCCCCTTGTATCTGTTTTCTGTAATGTGGTCATATTACTTTATAATGAAAAACATATATATTTTACAGGAAGGAATGTGCCTGAGTTACACGCAAAGCTAACTCAAGACATAAAGAAGCACTTCTTCACTGTCAGGGCTGAGGACGGAAACCCTGGCGGCACCTCCGTGCTGGAAAGAAAACAGCATCTCCATGCTGGGAGGGTGAGCTGTGCCCTCTTAAAACACAGGCGAGGCTGGTGCTCGCTCAGTCCCTTCCAGCTCCAGAACCCCATACAAAGGCTCGTTTGGGTGACAACTGACTATGGCCCATGGTGCTGAGGCTGGATTTGGGATCCACTCCTCCCCACGGGGAGAGAGGGTACCCTTAAAGGACACAGACGGGGCCGGCCAGTCTCAGTCCCCTTTGTCGTTTGTCCTGAGCTTGCTTCATATACGTGATTTAGCTTCCGCAGCGGCGGCAGGGGTAGCAGGCCCCCAAGGTCCTGTGTGTGGGTGGGAGAAAGCGGGGCCTGAAAAGCTGCCTTTGTGCTCTCAGCTGGCTGGGGGAGACAGGGGAGCCATTAGGCTGTTGCTAGGTGACGGCCCCAATGAATCCGCACTCGATGCTGTCACTGCGTCATCCCTTTGACACAAGTGAATGCAAAGAGAGCCGCTGTGACTCAAGGACCTGTTGAGAGTGAATGGCTGTCACAGGGAGCTGAGCGTGCAGCCCCACGGGGCAGCTCCTCAGCCGAAAACCGGTTTCATCCAGATGGCCCTTCAGGGTTTTGCTGGGTTCTGGAAGGTTCTAGGGGCTCTCCAGTGGGTCTAGGCCAGCCTCAAGGAGTCAAGGTCCACTACAGAGCCGTTCCTGCTGCAGGTGGCTGGCCAGGAGGAGATGCCAGTGCCGAAGGTTCCGTTTCTCCTAACCCACCTGGTCCCCTCACAGGGTCCTGGAGGGGAGCAGGTAACTGCACCCTGTGGGCACTGCTGAGGGCCCTGAAGAGATACCACTGGGTGGGCAGGTCTCAGTCTGAACCCTACAGGCTTGCCAAGAGTTGAACCTGCCGCCCTGGGAAGATGAGGCATCAAACCTGATCTTTCCCCGACCTCAGCAAGCACCCTTGAAAAAAAGGCACCGATGTAAGACAGAATGGAGCCAGGCACCGTGGCTCACACTTGTGATCCCAGTGCTACAGAAAACCAAGGTGAGGGAATTGCTTGAGGCCAGGAGGTCAATATCCTCCTGCACAAAATAGTGAGACTTTGTCTCCACAAAAAAAAAATGAAAAACTGTTAGCTGGGCGTGGTGGTTCACAGCTGTAGACCAGCCACTCTTTATAATGGCAATCCTATACTCGGGAGACTGAGGCAGGAGGATTGCTTGAGCCCAGGAGTTCAACACTCCAGTCTGGCTGACAGAACAACACCCTGTCTCAAAAAAAAAAAAAAAAAAAAAATTGGGGCTTCTAGAAAGATCTTGTGTGGTGACATATTTATTAGCACAATTAGGCATATGTAAAATACAGCACTGGCTACAACAATCACAAAGAGGAAAGGGAGGAAGAAGGAACAGGAGGAGAAAATAAAGGAGGACATAAGAATAAGAAGCTCTTTGAGTATGAAAATCATGTTATGCATTCATCCAACACGTGCGTTTTCATTTTTCCAAAGTGGTGACTTCACAACAAAACTTGTGCACATTCCTGGGCACAGTCCAGGACAATGGGACACCGTGTCTCTGCCTGACCCTGAGGATGATTAAATCCGCAAACCCATTTCATCCTGCTCTAATCAGCCAAGCTACAGAGGTCAAAGAAATATCTGTAGCATGCAAAGCGGCAGGGCAGAAGAGCAGGTGCAGAGTGGAGCCCATTTCATCTGTCTCTTCTTCACTTCTCCCTTCCACCCCACCTCGGACCCAGCCCAAACTCACTATGTACTTTTGTGTGCTTTTGTACATGCTGTTCCCACTGCCTGCAATCCATCCTTTTTCTCATCTGTCAGGCCCATCTAGTCCCATCTAATCTTTAGGACCGACTCACATCACCCATGAAGCTTTTCCTGACCAGAGGAGGCAAAGTCCTAACAGTCTTCAGATAGTGCTGAACATTGGCAGTGGTGGGAGTGAGTAGCAATATCCTTTTTTTTTTTTTTTCAGACAAAGTTTTTGCTCTTGTTGCCCAGACTGGAGTGCAATAGCACGATCTCAGCTCACTGCAATCTCCACCTCCTGGGTTCAAGTGATTCTCCGAGTACCTGGGATTACAGGCATGCACCTCCACACCTGGCTAATTTTGTATTTTTAACAGAGATGGGGTTTCTCCATGTTGGTCAGGCTGGTCTCAAACTTCCGACCTCAGGTGATCCACCTGCCTCGGCCTCCCAAAGTGCTAGGATTACAGGCGTGAGCCACTGCACCCGACGGTAGCATTATCCTTGTGAACAGAAGCACAGCAACACCCGAAAGCAGGGAGGACGTTGAGGGGTGCCATGTGAAGAACAGCCTTTTTCTTGCCCTCACTGTCCTTGTCTGTATTTGGAAAATACCCTTGTCAGTTCATGAGACTCAAGATGGTGGAGCACATCCTATCTCCACTATCTGGATATTCACTCAAAGACTCGAGCTCTTTCTGAAGATGGAAGATTGGCCCAGGAGTCGGATGTGTTGGGATTTACAGGCAGCCATGTCTGCCCCTCCTGCTCCACACAGGTGTTCTCGCAGCTCCTCTTAACTCGATCCTCTCCAATAGCCAGGGCATCCGGCTGCTGCCAGTGCAATGGCTGGCACCCCTGCTCCCTCACCCTCACAGGCATCTGTGCTTTGGACAGTCAATCCCCACTTTGGTGACTGAGCATCTATCCCTCCCCTTTCACCATGCTGGCAGCCAAGTGGCCCATTCTTTGTGCCTTTCTCATCTGCCTCCCTAGCCGGCTTAGCAGCCACCACAAATAATATTAAGAGATGGTTTCACAGAACCCTTAGATGCCTGCCAACTACTGCTGATGCTATAACCAGCTCTGCAAATGGTTCCTGTTCTCTGCCTGCCCGGTTCCTCTAGGCATCCTGGCCATTGTCCCATCCGGAAGATCTCTGAAGACCAGGGCAGAAGACTCCAGTAAAGCAAGAGAGACTGGGGAGACAGGTGAGGCAGATAGAAGGAAGTGGAAGGGGTGGTGGGTGGTGGGGAGAACCATCATCCTTATCTTCAGCAGCCAATCCAGAGCCTGGTTTCCCAACCACTCGAGTGCTCAGAGGCCAGCTTCTCCTTGCTCTAAATGTTCCCTTTGCTCTAAAAGCTGGGTGTCCGGGACATCTCTAGAGGGCCCAGGAAGAATTCCACTACCTTTGCTAGGTTTCCTACTGTGGCGTGAGAACAGATTTGGGGATGAGAATGACACTATCAGTTAAAACCATCTGCAGTCAGCTCAGGCACACAGCTTTTTCTGTGCAAAATTCCTGCAGAGAGCATTCTAGGGCCTGGCCCAGCTGTCGCAGCCCAGGTGCCCACCGCATTGCAAGAGAGGTCTGTATCTTGCGAAATAGAGATCTTTCAGTCACATGAATAGCTGCAGTGGGAGCCTGACAGTTCCATGCGTCAGCCCACACGGCAGTAAGTCTAGTCACTACACACCTACTGCTGAGCCACCTGTGGGAAAATCATCCCTGGCCACCTGCTACGCCTAACCCCTCTAAGCTGTTTGGCAATAGAGACACAGGTGTGAACAGAAGACATCATCATAAAAATTAGTCAATCTCATATAAGTAATTACCTCAGAAAACAACCCCAAAGTCTCATTAGCCAGATAGTAAAATAGAAAGTAAACTAAGAGATAGATCCAAGAGATACAGGATTTTATTTGGAGACGAACTTGTGTTACAGCAAAAAGAGTTTTACGTTCAGAGTTCCAGCTCCCCTGCTTCCCAACTAAGTGGCCTTGGGCGTGTTCCTTAACATTTCCAAGGCTGACTTTTTTTTCATGCTTAAATGGAAGAAAATAACACCCCTGCCTGGCAAAGTTGTTGCGTGATCCAAAAGATAATGTACATGAAAGCTCTTTGCAAATGGCAAAGTATTATGCAGTAATGAGTTATTGTAATTCAGTCTTCTAACAGGGCACCATGGTATCCCTTTTATCTCTCCTACCACCCGAATGTCCTCTCCCCTGCAAACCTCAAAGCATTCTGCGTGAAGCGTGTTGAGCATGTGTGTGTGTGCACACACATGCGCACACACACACACACAGGGTACAGGCATGTGTCTCTGCATGTCATTTTCATAGCTGTGTCTAGGCAAGACCTGTGAAATCTCCATGTCCCAGAAGCCAATGAGAAAGCACCAGCTCAGAAGGGGGTATAGCTCAGGGGTAGAGCATTGAACTACATACAGATCAAGAGAAAGCACCAGCTCTGCAAAGCCTTCGCCATTAGCAAAGAAGTGAAACCAACAAGCTTGAGACCCAGGGTTTCCCTTTAAGCATGGCGGAAATTGGAAACAAACCATTTCTGGTAACCGGTAACTCTTAGTAATTAATAACGTAGCTCTTAGTAATCAGTAACTCTTAGTAATTAATAAGGTAGGAGTAAGAAAGCAGATGCCTGGAACTGACCTTATAAATAAGAACTAGGCAGAAAAAGAACTGGCAGGAGATGAGGGAGCTGGGGAGAGACTGCAGTGATCATCTAGTCCTGATTTCACAGATGAAATTGGGTCTCAGAGAAGAGAGTGGACTTGCCCAGGATGACACAGGGACAAAGCTGGAACAAGAGCCCAGGCTTCCTTCCTCCATGTGAGCTATGATCAGCCATTCATTTTCAGTTCCATTTGGCTCCCATATTTCTGAAATAACCAAATAAGAAGAAGTCCAAAAGGAACTTACCCAAAAAATTTTTCTCGGTCACAGATGCTGGACCCAATGAGGGCCCCAATGAACAGTGTCCACCTCATGTTCCCGGGGAGTCAGTCATACAGTGGCTGAGTCAAGCTGTATTTATAAAGCGTCTGAGAGTGACTCAAGTCCTCAAAAATGCTAATGCGATTCCCAACCACCCTTGCAACTCTGACAGTGTGACAGGCAGGCCTCACCAATGCCTCTCCCATTCCTTTCAAGTGATAAAGGTTGAGCCTCTCCATTTACAAGGTCAGGAACTTGCTCCAGGAGCTGAAAAAGTCTGTGCCAAGGGTACCATATTGCTCATCACTTGGCATTTAAATGGTGTTTTTTCAGTGAATAAGAAAGTTCCACAGTGTTGGATGGAATTTATCCTGATAGGAGAGGTCAGATTATAAACCTGGCATAGAGTTACCTCTAGAATAAAAAAACAGAAAAGTTAAGACTATCAAAGCAACCCTGAGCTGGCTCCAAGACCACATGCTTGACAAGCCCTGCCAGAGAATTTCACCAGGGCAGGTCAGGATGAGGAAAGAGGTTTGTGGCCTCTTTTATGGATCTGAAGCCTAATTCTTATGACCCCACTAACAAAATAGAACTGTATCGGGGAAATGATATACAAAGGATGCTTTAGTCTGAATAAATTATCAGTGTTCCTTGGCGTCTGAACTATAGGGAAGGCTTAGTGGTTTTATCAATAATAAGATTTTCGGCCGGGCTCAGTGGTTCATGCCTGTAATCCTAGCACTTTGGGAGGTCAAGGTGGGCGGATCACGAGGTCAGGAGATCAAGACTATCCTGGCTAACCTGGTGAAACCCCGTTTCTACTAAAACTACAAAAAATTAGCCGGGCGTGGTAGTGGACACCTATAGTCCCAGCTACTCAGGAGAAAGGCGTGAACCTAAGAGGTGGAGCCTGCAGTGAGCTGAGATTGCGCCACTGCACTCCAGCCTGGGCACTAGAGCAAGACTCCATCTCAAATAAATAAATAAATAAATAATAAGACTTTCTTATACTTCCTAGACTGTGGGTCTGGTATCCTTTCCACCAAGTCACAGCTGAATAAATGGAAGACACTCATGGTCTCCATAACGTCTTCAGGGGCTCCGGGACCTTTGAGTCTGTCCTGGGAGCCCCAGTTCCCACAGCCTTTCCCATCCCACCCTCCCTACGGTCTACATGCTTTCCACACCCACACAAGGGGAGTGGACACAACCAAGGGTCACAGTTGAGAGAGTTAAAGAAAAACTATCCTGACATGTGTTAAAATGTAAGACCTAATTCAAGATTATGATTGGGAACATGGTTCTCTCAATAGGAGAGACTTATTGTGCTTAAACTGAACACAGCAAAGAAAACAGAGAGGATCAGTGGGATTACTAAGAGAAGACATCGAGGTAGGGGGATTCTTGCTAAAGGCAGGCCAAGGACTTACACATCAAAGGTGGGGATGAGGAACTTGATCGGATATCAAGGTGGGAGGGATGACTTTGCAGGATCTTTGCTCAGCCTGGCTTAGCCAGGGCTCGAGAACCAGCCTAGTCAAAAAGAGGGTGCAGAATCTCAAGTGCGGTCCCAAAGAAAGCCTTTGTCAGGAGCTGTGGAGTTAGGGGCCATCATCTCCTCTTGCTCCCTCGGGGTCCTTCTGTCCTCTCAACACATAAACTGAATTCCTACACCCACCCTGTCCACCACAAAGCATGGGCTCAGTGTCACTGAGATCGATGTCAGCTTTGACGTTAGCAACAAGAACAACTGAGACCCAAATCTAAGAGATGTGAAGTGGAAGAATCAAGGACCCAGAATTCTAGGCAAGCTGAAACTTAGTTCTTACCTTTTTCTCCCAGGGAAAATCATCCACATGAAGAAAACCTAAATCCCCAATAGAAGTCAATATCTAAAGAGAAACTGTGTGCAACCTGAGACCGAGGCTCGACAGGGGGGCAACCAGGAAAAAGGAATGTCGTTGGCTTGGGTCCCCACCAGTTTGTGTGTTTGTTTTTTTGAGACAGAGTCTCACTCTGTCGACCAGGCTGGAGTACAGTGGTGCGATCATAGCTCACTGCAGTCTCAAACTATTCGGCTCAAGTGATCCTCCCACCTTAGCCTCCCAAGTAGCTGGGACTACAGATGTTTGCCACCATGACAGGCTTTTTGTTTTGTTTTGTTTTGTTTTTGCAGAGATGGAGTCTCACTGTGTTGCTCAGGCTGATCTCAAACTCCTGATCCCAAGGGATCCTCCCACCTTAGTCTCCCAAAGGCTGGGATCACGGGCCTGAGTCACCATGCCCTGCCCCACCAGTCTTCATAAAACAGCACAACACACCAGGAAAGGAAAAACCAAAGGCAATGATGGAACCAGGTATAGCACCTGGGACAAGGCCTGGCACAGTGCAGTTGCTTAATGAGTATTTACTGAATGAATGAACTTGAAAGTCCATTGCTAGCCCTAAAATGCTACACTCTTAAGATGAAGGGGCTGACACATGCTACACCGTGGATGAATCTTGAAAACATTATGCTAAATAAAAAAAAAAAAATGCCAGCCACAAAAGGACAAATACTGTTTAATTCCACGTATATGAAGTACCTAGAATAGGCAAATTCATAGAGACAGAAAGTAGCCAGTAGTTGCCAGGGGCTAAAGGGCAACAGGAATGGGGAGTTATGGTTTGATGGGGAAGAGTTTCCATTTGGGATGATAGGAAGTTCTGGAGATGGATGATGGTGATGGTGGCATAATGTTGTAAATGTACTTAATGCCACTGAATTGTACACTTAAAAATGGTCAAAATGGTAAGTTTTATATATAATTTAACACAATAAAAAACTGTCAAATGGGGCCTGGCACGGTAGCTCATGCCTGTAATCCCAGCACTTTGGGAGGCCGAGACGGGCGGATCACTTCAGGTCAGGAGTTCAAGACCAACCTGGCCAACGTGGTGAAACCCTCTGGTCTCTACTAAAAAAATAACAAAAATTAGCTGGTGTGTGGCAGGTACCTGTAACCCAACTACTTGGGAGGCCTGAGGCAGGAGAATGCCTGACCCTGAGAGGCAGAGGTGCAGGTGAGCCGAGATCGTACCATTGTCACTCCAGGCCTGGTGACAGAGTGAGACTCTGTCTCAAAAAAAAAAAAAAAAAAAACTGTCAAATGATGTTGGGAGCACTCTGCCTGCCAGAATGGATTTAATATTATTATTTATTTTTATTATTCATTTATTTATTTATTTATTTTATTTTATTTATTTATTTATTTGAGACGGAGTCGTCGCTCTGTTCACCCAAAGCTGGAGTGCAGTGGCACGATCCTGGCTCACTGCAAGCTCCGCCTCCTGGGTTCACGCCATTCTCCTGCCCCAGCCTCCCGAGTAGCTGGGACTACAGGTGCCTGCCAACGCGCCCGGCTCATTTTTTGTATTTTTAGTAGAGACGGGGTTTCACCGTGGTCTTGATCTCCTGACCTTGTGATCCGCCCACCTCGGCCTCCCAAAGTGCTGGGATTACAGGCGTGAGCCACTGCGCCCGGCCTAAATATTATTATTTTTAGAGATGAAGTCTCCCCATGTTGCCCAGGCTGGTCTCAAACTCCTGGGCTGAAGCAGTCCTCCCACCTCAGCCTCCCAAAGTGCTGGGATTTCAGGTGTAAACCACCACATCTGGCCTCAGGATGGATTTTTAAAAAGATGAAGGGGTACAATGCCATGACTTGCTGTGTTTGAGGGCAGCAGAAAATGGAGAAATAGTGCTCCCAGATCAGGCTTAGAAAAATAAACAATACAACCCAACGTTGCTTCAAACCAAAGAGATTTTAATGGCTCTTGTTTCTTCCTCAGCGCCCTAATAGGGGTGGTCTCGCACATGCTCCATAATTGCCTTCAAGCCAAGCCAGGTCTCCTCAGCTGTGGGAAGGATCTGATGGGCTGGCAAGAGGAAGCCATAGCGCCCTGTGTCTCTCAGTTCAAAGGCAAATGAGTACTTGATGCCATAATCATAGGACCAGTCAATGCTTCCTCCACTGGCTTGGTCTGAAGGGCAAATGAGAATGAAGTTTGGTTACATGACTCCCACCAGCCTTCACAGCAATGGAACCTCTATATTAAATTCTACCTTCATAGGTAAGCCAGGCCCCTAGGTGTGAACTGTAAGAGGCGGAAGAGTTTAGTAGAGGATCACATTTATGAAAAAATACAATAATTTGAAAAGCAAAAGGTGTTATTCAATGGACACTGAACTGAGCCTTCCTTTGGTGTTCTTAGGAGCCTCTGGTTTTACCCACGCCATCTTAAGTGGCCTCTTCTCCACCTTAAGTAGGCCACACCACTTCCTTCTTTAGAAGGTACAGACATGGTTTTCTCTCATGGGAGTGGAGGGATTATAAATGCAGTAAGAGGTTCGGTCCCTATCCTCAGGGGACTTTCAGCATTAAGGGTGGGGCAGGCTCTGCTCTGCTACCAAGTCGCATGTCCGGCACCTCTGTGTGGTGGGTTCAGCCAACACAGTAATGTGCACCTGAGATCTGTGTGCCTGCTGATGTGACAGATGATGAAGGAAGATGGCATTAACCTACGAGTCAGTCATGACTCAGAAAAGCCTAGCAATGGACCAGCCCTGTGGCCCCTCCCAGGAAGGGCAGCTAGAGGTCACAGGAGGACTTGGCGAGGGCATAGATGGTGGAAGAATTGAGCTGGAAAGACCAGGGAGGTTGTACCAGAAAAGAATAGGGCTAGAGGTTAATATTGTAAATTAATATTGTCAACTCCCATGAGTTTTGTCTTTGCCTTCACCCAGCAGAGCAGCTTGGAAATTAATGCCTGGTAAATAATAAATACTAAATGGTTGCTGATTTGAACTGAATCTTCCCTGGACCAAAATTACCCACTCACACCTTTTGATGTGGCTATGTGACACGGCCAACCACACTAAGAGGTCCACTGTAGACAGAATACTGGCCTCAGATAAAATCCCAACCCTATAAATCATTATCTGGGTGACCTAAACTAAGTCATTTATTTCCAGATGCTTCACCTGTTACATAGGGATGATATTACTACTTGTTTCACAGGGCAGTGAGAATTAAATAGCATAATGGTTGTGATGAC